AATTTCGACCGACTTAGTTTAACACCTTATATTGTATTGACGATAGTCAACATCTGATAACATAATAATGAGTACTAGAAAAATAAAGTATTCCATTTTTTTTCCAAATTTATTACAATTCCTATATGTATTAGTGTAGGGTTCTTTATTAGATTAAATGTTGATTACAGATTATGTTCTTCTTAAATCACCCTAAAAAACATGTAAATATTAAGCATTTTAAATCTTCATATCAAATTATTCTTATATTTAATAATATTATTACAAAGTAGAATCGGATCGGATATGTCGGATAATTCAATTTTAATATATGTATCTGACAAATATCTCCAAATAAATATCCGTATCCGATCTATAAACTCCGGATATCCAAATTTTCGATTCGGATACGAAACGAATAACGGATCGTTTCGGATTTTTCGGATATTTTAACCATCCCTATTTTGAACTATTAATATGTTAAACATAAAATAATCGCCGAACTTAAATATATTTGATAATAATTATTGTATGAATTGGCTCGTCTGCTCAGAAGCCAAAATGGAATTCTAGAAAACATAAACAATATTTTCGGTCAACTACAAAAGATCTACGCCGAAATATGCTCTGTTGAAAGTAGCAAGCCATTTAATCGAGATATAAATTTTAATTTAGATAAATATATTTAATTAAATAAATAAAAATCTACTAATAAACCTTGTAATAATGACTCCTTCATTACATATTAATATTATCTCCCATAACAAAAAAAAAAACCTCGTGTGATGTCTTCCGATTCCAATGTACTTCCTTACAATTTACGGCACACTGGTCAAGCATGTGTATATATACGTTGTATATATATATATATATATAATTTGGAGTACTAAATTGGATTGAAAATATATTATTTCAGTCAACTGTTAATAAAAAGCATGAAAACATAAATTGGAGTACTAAATTGCACTGAAAAAACATTTTCGAATGTTAAAAGGAAAGATAGAAATTTTGGAAATTGAATTACATACTGAAAATAGTATATACGAAAAAGACTATAATCCAAAATAGAAAACAAATCCTCATTTTAAATCGAGGATTTCAGTGAAATAACTGAAACCAAAAATCCTCAATTAAAATCAATCCAAAATAAATATTCGATTAAATCAATTGGGTATTTAACTCATAAACTAGGATTTAATTTACACCAAAATAAATAATTCGATTAAATCAATTGGGTATTTAACTCATAATCTATCATGGAAGTTTATCGATGTGCATAATTAAATCATGGAAGTTTATCGATATGCATAATTAAATCACATGGCAACCAATAGGAAAGTGTGATGAAATAAATTGATAATTTTCATGGTACGTCTCAATATATGTTCTCTCCTGTTTTCTGATTTCAGAAATCAACAACTAACCAAACATGCGTCTTCTAATCACTGGTTCTAGCGGTCGGTGTTGTCGCCTAGTTGCTTTTATTTTATTCTAATCATCAATTAATTATAATTAATCTTCTCTTATCTATTTAATACTCCTATGTTATTAATTAGCCCAATAGTCTTAAACGATTCATCAAACCATTTCTTACATTTAAATTTGATTGTTTTTTAACGGAATAAATCTCTATCTATAAATTGTGTATATATATATATATGAGGACGATATTTGGACGAAATATCTGCAAAATTGTTCGTAGAAATTAAATAAATATTGATTGGAGAAATATTTTTGGTAATGTTGAAATATATATATATATATATATATATATATATATATTATTACGTATTTACGTCCGATTTTTGTAATTTATTTTACTAATTATCTAATAGATTATTATTGAAGAATAAATATAACTTTGGGAAGCTATAATGTGGAGAGTGGTATATGGACAGAACTTAGCCCTAAATCTCCGATGAAGATTGGTTGCCGGGGTTTGCAAGGGTTTGTGTCTAAGAAAGCAAGAATCGACAGGACAACAAAATATCTTTCCTTCTTTGTTTTACCATTTCTTAATACAAAAAGTAAAAATAAAATAAAAAATCGAAATGTGCATTGAAATTGCTATGAAGCATTGGGCATGAAAACTCCAAGATCTAACCCGAAAATCAAAGAAATCACAAATATATACATACATATATATATATATATACAGTTTAAGTCACAACATTTTAAAATGAATTATTTATTTATAAGTTATATAACTAATCGGGTTTGATTAAGAAAACTATATAATATTCAAACACAAACCATCAAACAATCATCCAAGTGAGTTTGAACGATTTTGAATGTGGTTTTCATTGATTAGGACTTCCCCTTTTACTCTAGCAAACGTTTCTCTTTTGAAATATTTATATTTTGGATATATGTTATTGCTATTAATACGACTACCAATTAACTAACAATTAAGAAACTAAAGTCTAATTAAATCTTCTAATAAAAGGGTTCAAATGTGAGAAAAAGTCTCATGTTTTTATATATAGGTATACACACAATAATTGTATATGTGTATTTACATGTTTGTGTGTGTGTATAGCAGTGGTTTATGTAATAAGGTTTTTAGGGCCAACTTTCCAAATTTGGTTAGAACATGTCAACACCTTCAGCCGTTGATTCAAGTCCACAAGTTTAGATTGGGATGTTAATTCGATCATATTGAAAGAATGAAACTGGTTAAGAAACGAATTTCATGTTTGTCATATATATAGACTAAAACAGAAAATTTTATTTCAAATATATATACATACATATATGTATATGTATATATATATGTGTGTGTGTGTATACTTTTTTCATAAATCTCTAACTGGTTACAAACTAAACCGCTTCGCCTTATTCGGAAGAGTTATTTTTAACTATCAAACTGAACTGACGACAGAGACTTAGAGCAGACCGACAAATGAACAGTGAAGAAAATTGGACCGTAGGATTAGGAACAAAGGCAGGTTGTATAACAAGGTATCTGTTGCATCACCGCCTAACACGAGCACAGCCGGTTCATATCTGTCTCGGAACCTGCCCATATGATTACGACCCATCAAAAAAATCGGAAAAAAAAACATGAATATTAGCCTTAAAATTAGAATAATTGATATTATAAAAAGAAAAAAGAAAAAACAGAAGCTGGTGAGTTCTATTGCAGAGTCCAGAGAATCGACCACGAGAGAGAGAGAGAGAGAGAGAGGTTTTCTCTCAGAAACCCTAATGACGAATTGCAAAGTAACACTTGCATTTCGAGAAAAATTTTGTCACCGCCTGCTTATTCAATCGAGAGAGAGAAGAAGTTCCCAAGGTCTCTTCTGCCAATGAACTCCATAAAATATATACATTTTTTTTTACTAACTTAAAAACTTGGAATAGTTTTGCGGTAATTCTGAATATCACAGAAAAAAAAAAATCCGAATATCAGGATTATAGTGCTCATAATTATATATATATATATATACATATATGATATTATTTTCAAAACCCAGAAATTTCAAGTCCAAATGAAGAAAGCGGAAAACCTCAAGCGGCGTGTGTATGTGTATGCATGTATATAATAATATAAGCACGATATTTTATACTTTATATCCCATGGAATAATGACAGATCGATCTTCTGAATTTGGCTAATAATCCACAAGAGCTTAGGATTTTAATATTAGCTAACACGAACTGACATTCACCACACTTCAAGAGTTTTTTTATTTTTAATTATTGTTATAATTTAAAAACTGAACAACTTTATTTCAGCAAAGCGTCCAAACATGGTCATTTATGACATACCCGACGACGGTCAACAAATCGATTTCTATACCCTCATATTTTTCCTTACCAAATTACATTCATATTTAGACATGAAATATAATTAAGAATAACTCTTTCGGCATGCATTTAATTTAAGAGAGAGATATTACATTTTTAAATTAGTTTATGATTATGAAACTTAAAGAGCCCTAAAATAATGGCTTTACTCGGGGAAAATTTGTTCCACATGACCCCCAAAAAAAAATCGAAACATTGAAGATTCTTGATGATTATAATTTAATTCAATAACCGAAATAGGGAGTGAGATGTAGGGACTTACCAGGAAATAAGCATCGCCATGTTGCAAGGGATGCATCAAGAACCCAAACACATCAGTCGGAAGAGGAACTCCCGACGAATGAAGCAGCACCAGATCTCCACCAAACATCGCTTTCATGTGGATTGGCCCTCTTGGCACTTGTGTCGGAACTCCGTTGATGAACACCGTTATCATCCCTACTGAGTCACGTTGTCGTGAAATTCGAAATTTTAAAAAAAAAAATCGACGAAGGATTAACGTTTTAACCCTTTCTGTGCCTCTTTTTTAAATGAAAAGAGTTCTTCTTGCGGGTACAGAAGAGAGAAACACAGAGGATGGGAGGTCAAAAGGAAAACGAAAAAGAAATAAATGCAATGATTGATCGAGAAAATCGATTCCAAGTTGAAACCCACCTAAAATTTGGAAATTCTTGACCTTTTCATCCATAAAAGTTGCTATCTTTATATACTTTTTTGTTCGCAGGAAAAAAAAAGGTACCTTTAAAACTGGGGGATTTTTTAAAGAAGAAAAGGCAGGCATGCGCAGACTGAACAAGAAACCGACCAAACTTAGCCATGCAAACAGATGTTTACCCTGTTGGAATTGAACATCTGGGTTTTGATCAGCTGGGCACAAAATTGAAGAAACATTGGATGTGTGCTGTTGATGATCAGTCTCGTTGTAACCCATCTGGCAAGGCATTGTGAAGAGATTCTCCATGGCATTAACACCAGAAGACGAAGAAGAGGAAGAGGAAGAGCCTGACGAAGACGAACCCGAAGAAGACGACGGTGAAAGTCCGAGAAAAAACGAAGGGACATGAGATTGTGGAGCAGCAAAATAATGACCACAACTTCCTCCAAACCCCAAATGGTACAGATTTCCATCACCGGAGATGACACTTCCTTGCTGGTTCGCCTGGAGGCTCACCGGAGAGCTTGCTCCGGCGGAAGATGCGGTCGCCGCCTCCGCCGCCGCAGCCTGGAGCTGCCGCTGCTTCCGGCGGGGTCTTGAGCGGCGATAATAATAATAATTAAAAAAAAAACAGAATAAGAGGGTTTCTTTTGTAACCCTGTTGTTGTTGTTTTATGCGGTGGTGTTTGCTCTTTTAGGGGGTTTTTTTAATGGGAATAGAGAGCGGGAGAGGAAAGAGAGAATCCATTTCGGTAGAAACTGAAATCAATATATAAACTTGTATGATATATATATATAGAGAGAGAGAGAAATAAATGCATAGGTTTTATTTCTAGAGAAAAACGACAAACAAAATTGATGTATATAATTGAATTCTTTAAAAAAATGATGTATGCGTACGAACATATACGGTATAATGTAATGAATTCATCAAAGGAACTTAACGGGCCAAGATCTTCTCAGTGTTGCATCCCCCACGGCTCCGAATTTCTCGAGCATCTTTCTAATTCTCACGGTCTCATCTTTTGGTGGGTTAACCATACCGCTGTTAAAGATCGATTCGAGCAAGAGGATTTGCTCCGGTTTAGGTGACCAACGTGTCCGGGCCGGTTCGGTTGCGACCGGGGAAGAGGAGGAGGAGGAAGAGCCATGGTTCTTGGTGTCGTGGTCATTGTCTTGTGTTTGCTGTTCCATTTTTCTTCTTCTTTGGTTATGGAAAATATAATTATTTGAATAAAAGGGCTCAGTGGAACCTTTACATCTGAGGAGTGGTGGAGTTTTGGAAAGATTTGTGTGCGGAATTTATAGGGAAGGATTTCTGAATGGGTTAAATTTTCTTGTTTATTAAGTCACAGGGCCGGGGTCTAGTGGACTCATTTAAATATTACCATAAAATATTAAAAAAAAACATATATTAAATATGCGAATAGTTATATGTTGTGCACATATATGCAAACACGTACACGGAGACAGTATACAAGATTGAAGTGCTTGGCATCTTATGCCTGCAGATATATATTGTGCGGAGATCTTATTTTCCACTGTAACATTAATTTCGACCGACTTAGTTTAACCTTTTTTTTTTGTTAGGGTTTTCCATAATGGGTCATGCATATCGGTGTGTAAACCCTAATTTTTTTATATATTGGTTGAGATTAAAAGTCTTAAATTGGAAACCCTAAAATAATAAAATAAACGTTTAATTTTGTGGGATGCTATATATAATATTCATCTTACGTCATGCAACGGACGCTCAAAGATTTTTTTTTTGGCATTTCCAGTCAAATGAAAAAATAAAAATTTGCTGTTAATAAAAAGAATTATATTTGATTTGCCACTGAGGTTTTGAATTCACAGTAAAAGACAATATTGACCTCCGTTTGCCTAGGACTACTCGGCTCAGAACATAAGAGAGCAGGGACAAATTAGTAAAATCGTGTAAGAGAGAGCCAGCTTGTGGACCAAAACCTTCAGGTTTTCGGCATGGCTCTGGCCCATGTGACCCAAAGAGCTTATTAAAAAGCCATATTTTTATGTATTAGTAATGAATTTTGGTAGAAAAACATAAAATCTTTCTTTTAATATGTTATTTAAAAGGCATATAAATTTATCAGTGATCCTGAAATTGAAGTTTGTGAACAAATAGAAAATGATTATATTTTTTTATATTTTCTACTTTTAATTTATAATTATGAAAAAATAACAAGCAAACTTTTATATATATATATATATATATGGAATACCAAGATAAAATATTATATTGAAAATAATATTTGATTACTCCAGATAAAAACATAATGTTCTAGTGTCAAGCATGTTTGAACTTGATATTTTAAGATAATTAATGCTTGATTTGAAACTTTTAGGCAAATAACTTTTTTCAATATCAATCAATTCAAGTTATCTGTATATAATTTTTGGAAGCCTAATACATTAAACTTAAACTTTTTTTTATATAAATGATATTTTAAAATTGTATACTTTAGAATTCATTTTTTTACAAAATTTATGATTTGTTATCATTTTCCAAAAGTTGTCTATTTTATTTTATTTCTCAATCTTTAATTTGCTTTGAGATGTTCACGAAGAAAATGTACAAAACTAATTAATAGAATATGGGAAAAAATAGAAAAAGAAAAAGAAAAATAAAAAGTACAAAGTGTGTGTGTGTGTGTGTATATATATAGACAACTAAGATTTAAATTATTTAATAACATTTAAATATCTTTCAAAACCACAAAAAACAATTGTAACATTTTTTCAGTAAAAAAAATACTCCATGTTATATTAAAATTTGAAATTAAATATAAAAAACTGAGTTATGGATGTTTAAGCAAATATTATTGTAGTAATTTCAATTCATTCTGCTGGGGTCAGGCAAAGTGCTTGCCAACACATATACGAATATTAGTTATTTGTGTGTTTGCTGTATACGTATGCAACCCGCGTATGCTTGAACATATATAGATACGTTACATACGTATATTAATTATAAATACGTATTCAACCCGCAAATGTATGGTGGGATGTTTCAATATAAAAACATTTATGAGAAGAAAAAACTTTATTCGGAATATAAAGTGTATCGTCCGTTCGTCGGGATGCATGTACGTGTATATACGTAATATATGCATATATATATATATATATATATATATATATTATGCGTATGCGTGCGCCAAGAACGACACATATACGGTCAAAACTAGAGTGTAGAAAGACGGTAGCCGACAACCTGCTTCATTCAGTTTGCTCTGTCCGGATGCAATTTATACGTATATTGCGTTTTTTGAAGTTTTTTTTCGTTCAATAATTATAAAACAAAAGATTCCATTCGGTTCTCCTGCCTTTTTTTTCCTGGTCATGTGATAGCTACAAAACTTATCTCATTTGAAGAGTTATATATTTTTAAATAGATGACTAAAAATTTCAAACTATGAATTATGGATAAATGGTTTTAAATAATCCAATTACGAATTATTTTCAAGATATTATTTATGGGTGTGTTTTAGTTTTGTGGAATCAAAATTTATCCTCCACTAAACTTGATCTAAACTGGAAATATTCACATCAAACAGCACGATGATTGCTTGTTTCCAATAGAATAAATAGTCATGAGACAATATTTAATTTTTATACAAGAATATATATTTAGGAAATTACCCAAAAAGGTGATTTTTTTTCCATTGATGAAACAGTACTTACTGTTGTTTACACCCTTAAAAAATCAAGACAGGAAAAAAGGTTTTAAAAAAAAAGAACACCCTTGTGCCCTAAAGGCGGAACCAGATGTTGGTCGGTGTCCCCCATTGTAAAAAAATAAAAATAATTTGAATTAAATATTAATTATTAATAGCTTAGCTTTAAATGTAGAGATATAAAAAATGCCGACCAGAATGTAAGTAAATATCTCATAAAAATGAACCGCCAATTCAGAAAAACAAATATCATATTTAAACTTGTCGTATTGTTTCATATTTCGTTCTGCCTTCAAATATTATAATTCGTGAGATCGTAAAATACTGTTTTGTTAATATTAAATACTCTATCATTAATTTGAGAAATTACACTTCTTTCCTCTTATTTAAACTGAGTTTTTTTTGTTATTTTAAAATCAGAAATTTAAATTATATTATACTTTTTAGTTTTTTTATTGTAACCTCGAAATCTAATTCGGAGGTTATAATTTAATTGGCCCCAATTATATTTTTCATTTTTTTTTCAAATATAACTTTTATATTCAATTTGGTTATCTGTTTTTTTTACCTCTTAGTAAAAGGAATCTCAACAGCTGCAAAGTTGCTGGTGATGTTCAGAATTTTTGTTTCTCCTTCTTCGTTTTTTTTAGTATATAATAATGTTATTAATTGCATATTTTTGTCGTGCAACAAGAAAACAAAAAAAAAAAACATGAAGTGGTGGATAGATTATATTCTATGTATGTCATGGTGATTGTGACAGATATTGATGCAACTGGGCATTACCACTCGTCTTCAATAACTCCCAGCTGTTTTGTCCGTTACTTATGTTGTCTCATATCTATCTCTTTTACGCATACATACACTGTATACGTATCCATATATCTCTACACGGACATATACAATGTATATATCAAGTGTACGGTGGGTTCATACACATCCTTCGTGCTGATACCACTATATGCGCAACGCCGCCGGATTTAATTGCAGGTGCATGAACAAGTTTATGGATCTTTCTCTCTTTCTTTCTTTTTTTTTAAATTGTTGATGAAATTCAAAGAATTCAAAAAAAAAATTGTGTAAGTGGCTTGTGCGATTCAATCGAGGTAACCACCAAACAAATGATTGATCGAGGGTGGTCGAATGATATATATATATATATACATCGAACCGATCATATTATATATTGGGTTGATTTAATTCGATGCGACAAATTTTGGGATCGGTTTATTCAAACTATATATGAATCTTTTAAATAAGTTAAAGTCGAGCAATAATTTCATCATAAACGACGTTACCATCATTTTCCAGAGCTTTAAAATCTGACAGCATATGATGCATACACATATATATACATAACCTATATATTAGACATTACGTCATATAGATTAAAGTATTTGACGAAAACAGGACATTGCAAGTACTTTAGTTAGTTAAGATTCTAGGATTTGTCGATTACGAGGTTTCTGGAAAAAGCCCTACGGAAACGAAACCTCTGTGGTCCTGAGAAGAGAGAGTTCGAAAGCCCTGAGATATTTCCGATGAGATCTTTGCAGTGTGGTCCTGCTTTGTTCCGTGTACGGAATCATTCCACGTATACATATCGTACGTGTACGTGCGTGTGTGTGTGTTGTAAATTCATATTTTTATAAAATAAACACATAAATTGTTGAATTAATAAAAATAAATAAATAAATCGAGAGGATATTCATGGAACAGGATCGGTGTACAGTGTACAGCTGGAGTCTACTTGGCGAGGAAGTCGAGTTCTATGGTTTTGGCCGGTGAACTTTGCAGGGCACTCTTGGGAATACTCAAAGAAATCCATTAAATATCGACAAAAAAAGCCAAATATTATATATATATATATAATATAATAATTTCCATCTGCACGTATAGCCTTAAATAATGCTTTTTTCGTTAAAAAAAACCCCACGCTCTCTGTCTCTCTAATACACACACATATATATATATATATTATATCACTATTGTTGACTTGTGTGGAATTATGTTCCTTTTTTGACGATGGTTGTAAAATTTATTACATTAATTTATATTGTCCTAGAGTGTTTTTCTTTTCTAACATTTTTTTTTTGTAACGGCTGAAATCCAACCACACCCTTTCGAAGGTGGTGAAAAACTCTCTGATTCCACGTAATAGTTTGTAAACCACGTACGACAGATAAACCATTTAAAAGGTGAACGATTCGTTGGAGAGTGGAATCGAACTCATTAACTTTTAGAGAATCATAAATCTTTTAACCACTACACCAAGCCCTGAAACTCTTTCCTAACTTTTTACTGATTGCTACTAAGTTTTTAATTTAACTACGATTTTAGAAAAGTATTATCATTGGATTTATCTTTGAGTTGATCAGTTGAATTATAATATTATTACTTTTTTTGGTACAACAATATACACACATTTTAACAAAAAAAAAACTACGAGACACACACGCGCATATATATATATATATATATATATATATAGGAATGTAGATATTAAGAAACAAACTTTTGACCAAAAAACAAATAATATAGATAAAATATACTAGAAAGATTAATAGCACTGACACATATAGATATAGATATATTCAGACTATATACATAGCATTTAACGTAAAGTAGTGTTCACAGAGTATTTTAAGGATAAGTACTTCAAACTGTCTACGTGGGAGTAGTACAAATTTATTGTCTTTACATATATATGTATATATATATATAGGAACATATATGAGATATATCCATATGACCAGACGGCGCTCGTGGTGGTTGTCTCCAAAGATACTATCGACATGATTTCATGTGTATATATGTTATATATGTATGATGTGCATCTGATGTCTCCCGCACTTGCATGATTAGCCATCACAATAACAGCCAAAAGGCTAAAGTTTAAACCTTTATTTTATTTTACTTAAAAAACTATGAAAGTGAAACTAAAAAAAATGATTAAATAAACAAAAGGTTAGGATAGATTCATGCATTGCATTGCATTATTTCTCTCAGCAGTTTAATTCCAATAATAAATATATAAGTGCTAGATTTAATGATGATTTGCCGGCACTTTAAAGAGACAAAATGTTCTCATATATGAAAATGACATATGCATATAAAAGAAGAATAAAAAAAAAACATAATCATCATATTTTCCAATGTCACACGGATAACATACTTACTTTGCTTTTTTTTTTTAAAAAAAAAATATTATTATTACGCTAGATTCTAATTAAAGAAACTCTATTTATTCCGTTTTCATCTGTTTCTGCACGCGTGTCTCTCTCTCTCTGTAATGATTGTGTGTGTTAATTTGTGATCCCTCTCTCTCTCTCTCTCTCTATATATATATATATATATATATATTAAACTTGACGGGCCATCAAGGTGTAATTTATAAAATTTGTAGAAAAGGATACTAAAGTTTCGTAAAAAGATTTTACTACGTGGAAACATAACCAGTTCCATATTCGGAATAATCTTTAAATTCTGATGTTAAGAAATCTGGTTGAACTCCTCAATTGGATCGAATTTTAAATGAAAACAAACTTAGGTCAAATTTCGCATTAGCCAAATTATTTAGTTGAGTCGGTTGAATTATGTGTATGTAAATAAAAAGTTGTATATAAAGTAGCGATATTTTTTCTTTCAAAACTCTTCTTTCCATTTCTATTTTGTTGGTAAATTCCACTTGTATTTCTATCCTTTAACACTTCGATTCATCGTATTTTTCTCTCATTTTCTCCTAATGATGATACGATAAACATATTTCTACTCTTATAATATATTCATATAAATTGAACTCTATCATAAAAATATAAAACAAAGCAAAAATAATAATGCCTAATTAAGGCTCGATCACGAAGCATGATTTTTTGGGTCTCTCGACAATGCTTTTACCGCTGTTTCCACCAACTTTAAAACTATTGGTTTCACACAAATCATAAAACCCAAACTATAGCTTTTCCTAATGGAATATATATACACTTTTTAATAAAATAGTTTAATAGGATTTCATGAACCGTCCTAGTCGTAACGTTACAAAGAAATTGTACATAAGCGGAACTAGGTTGGTCTAATTGAAACACTATAATGGGCCCCATGAGAAATAACAGTATATAAGTAAATAGGCCCATTAAAAAGTTATGGTGGTTACTTTGTCTTTATTACTGGGCCATTATAAAGCCCATAACCTGATGTAAAGAGCCCAAAGGCTTCTAAAAGATTTCTATTTATTGAAAGTTGATATTGGGCCAATATATAAAGCCCATATTCTCCATCGTTCTTTGTATTTATTTTTTTTATATATATAATTCTTTGTATTTATTTTAATACAAACAGCAGTTATTTATTATAATACGAAAGTTTACCATATAAATTCGACCAAACTATATTTTTCAAATAATCGAAGAAGATCATATGATTGGAGATAAATTCTCTAAAAGATTTCTATTTATTATTTCATTACATCCTCAAACAAATCTATCTGGTCTTAATCTCGGGGCCCACATGAGATGGCCAAGCTTCTCCACTACCTACATTGCCTCTTGTCAAAGTTCTTTCTGAGCATAAGTCTCATCAGCAAACTCCTGAGCCTCCTCGCTCCTGGCCCTGGCCTCAACTCCGCTCCCCCGTCTTTGCTCCTCGGTTTCCTCTTCAGAAGCTCTTTGTCGATCTTATCGAGAACGGGATCGTTCCTCTTGAACTTCCTAGCGAAAGGGCGGTTGCTCATGACCATCTTCCGGAAGTCTTTCGGTCCCAGATTCCTCGGATGCTGCTTGGGAGGGTTGTCCCAGGAGATGTAGTGGAGGTCGTGGTTCACTGTCGTGTTCCTAAACTCGTCCGAGTTGCAGATGAGCGTCTGGAAATACCCTTCCGGGGAAGACACGAAGTTGGTGTAGTAGAGGAGGAGAGTTCTTGGCAAGTTGTCGTACCCGATTACGCAATACTCCGAGAACGGTCTCGATAGGAACGTCCAAGCCGACCCTAATGCAGATTTAGACGCAATTCGATGATAAGAATACACATATAAAAAATCTGACTCCAAAAATGGAAGATGCGATCCTATTAGGTGCTACAAAGACATCTTACAGACTGCAGCTTTCTAAAATTGGGAGGATAAAGAAAGAGGCAAATAAGAATAAAATACACAAAAGATTCTTTAAAGTCTTGTCTTGGATCATATTTTGACCCCCTCAACTTTCGGATCTTCCTCGATTCAGGGACTAGAAAATGTGAGAAATTATATACAAGTTTGCCATTAAAATCGCTCATACTTCCCCATAATAAAAAGGGCCGGGCCATGTGTTCATTCTTGGGAACTAACCAAGTAGATATCTACTTGCTTTGAACTCAAATCTTCATTGTATTTACGTTCTCGCTACCATTATTATAAAACGTATACACATATGCACATACTGCTATACACAGACATATATATATATATATATATATATATGTATATAGAGAGAGAGAGAGAGAGGCAAACCGGTGAAAAGCTTGAAGGCAGTAGGGAGGCTTCTTTGTTTGATAACCCACCATATCTCAGACTTGTTGAGGCTGTAAAGCCCTGGGTCTATTATCACTGGTTTCCCCCTCTTGTTCCTACATCACAACATTCAATAACAATAACGATAATCACAAAAACGGCCGCACAGGCACACTTTGACTGTCATCTGCCACAAACTGCAGTTGCCAGATCCAACTGTTACTAGCTAAAGACTTACAGCTTCTGCCTTAACATGACTTTTCTTTTTTTTATAGAAAGCTCAAAGCTTTAATCGGTTTTTAACTCATTTTTGTTCAGACAAATTTCATGTCTTAGAAAAATAAATTACAATTTAGCGGTTGACAGAACTTACATTTTCCAGCCCAAGCGACTCGTGTGCTGTATGAAGTTGAGATCGTTCGGTAACTCGGAAAAGGCATAAATCAGATCTGAATTTATCATTACGAAGAAACGATTACAAAATGGATTATACAACAGATAACGAACGATGAGCAATGTTCCAATCATGGGTTCTTCCAACGTCAACTTCCTAAACCGAGCCGGTTAGCAGATAACCAATCTAGAATCAAGATCCAAATCCACAGATCAGTGGCGTTTTTCTCAACCTATATACCTAAAAGCCACTGATTAATGTTTGCAAATTCAAGAATCGTAGATTCAAACCCTAGAAAAATCAACCAAAAGAATAAAAAAGGGGGGCACTCACCATACCATCTTGAGTAACCAGAGGATAATCAGAGGCACTGAGGTTGATGAACCAATCCCACCGACAACACCTCAAGAGCAAGGCCATGGCGTGAAGCGTCGTCGCCAACATCGTGGGTCCCCTGTAGGTAACCAGATTCGGCTTTCCGACAAGCATTACGTTTCCTTCCGGCCGAAACAGAGGGTCTCCGGCCACGAATCTCGCCATCTCCTGATGCTCTGATTTCGGAGCTTCGAGGTCTAAGTGGATGAGATAGTGGTTGCTACGGTGATAGATCGACCGGAGAAGGCGTTTCACTTTCTGGGTGTCGCCTTTGGAGGCGGAGATCAGGTAGGCGAAGCGGGGGAGGGTAGAGTTGAGATTTTGCTGGGGTCTAAAGGGCAAAATCGGGGTTTTCAGGGTCTCGATCATGGAGGTCATGGTCACTGTGGTGGGTGCGAAGAGGAGATAGAGGAGGGAGAAGAAGATAGAAGTTACTGTGAACGAGATCATGAAGAGCTTCTTCATCGCCATTGTTGCTTCTCTTTTCCGAAACTCTCGTGGAGAGAGAGAGGGGGAGAGAGGTGGTTGATTCTGCTGTGTAATGGGGCTGTGGAGTTTTAAATGGTTGGTTTGGTTTAATTACAGATATGCCCTTCTTTATGACATCCATATTTTACTTTGTATTAAACTGCCATTTTGTTTCTTGGAAAACAAAAAACTGTCATTTTGGTGACACAAAACGCTAACGAATTTAATGAATATGCTAAATATAAAATGTTTTCGAAATTAGAAGTAAAAATATATGTAAAATTTTGTAATCAATGTTAAATACAAATAGTTAAAGAACCATTGCCACCTCTATTCAAATTAGTTAGATTAATTTGTATAGTGATGTATAAAACTTATATACAAATATTTAAAGAAATATTCCATGCGTAATTGATTTTTTATGTTAATTTTCAAGAAATACATCAATATACTATCATGAAATACTAGTAAATTGATGGCGTACATTTTAAAATTAGCTTTTGAAGGAAGATACATTTTAAAATTATAAATGTCAATAAAAATGTACTTTTAGGTAAGACTTGTACTCTACTTAAGCGCTAATTTCTTAGTAAATAAAATTTCCAAATTAATGACATCTTGGTTTTTTTAAACTTGAGAAAATTAATTAATTTAATTTGTAATTTTGTGTTTATATGGATTTCCCCCTTTTTTTAGATCCGAACAAATCTAGTAAAGTTTAAAACAAAAACAAAAAAACAAAAAAAGTGGGGAGAAGTGTGCAGAATAAGATCTAATTCAAGCATTGGGTTCCTTTCTTTGAAGCAAAGTCATGATTCATGGATAGATATTAGATAGATCTTCAACACCATTTGAATTTACTATTTTACCCTTACAAACATGCGGGAAATCGGGATTTAGGCCCATTAAGTATGACATTCTGTTAGTGTTGGATGGACCCACGGAAAAGGCCCATTAAGGGCCCAATTAAATTATCTCCGTAAGCCAATTAGTCTGGTGATGGCCTTGTGTTAAAACAATTATTTGGGCCCCAAATGTATATGTGAAGGGGACAATGTAAGAACACTATATAATAAGTTGTTTGAATTTGGATCAAGCAGAGAATTAATATAGAATCAGCAAAATTTGCAATCTCTGAAACCAGAAAATAAAATTATTTACATATTGACGCAAACTATGATATTCGCTAAAAACCGGTTATTGCGGTCGTACCAAATAATGATTTATGTTCTGCTATGAAAATGTACATTGATATATAATTTAAACATCATATCGTTGTTGTTGTTCTATTTAAACGAATGATTAAGAAATGATTCGATGTCACATTTAAATATTTAGTTTTCGGGATTGAATGAAAACTACAACAATAATTGAAATATGGACAAAAAAAGAAAATATAAAAAAAAAGTAGGAAAAAGGAGGAATGTTTGAGTTGGTAAATGTTACGACTCCCACTTTACCTAATTTAACTCTCTTCTTTAAAAAAAATAAAATAAAATTGATTTGGATGTTTTTGAGTGTGGGGGTAAGCAATCCATCCCCGACCAAACTCACCATCCAAACTAAACTCACCTGTTCTTCTTTTGTGTCTTTCTCTGTTTTATTTTAAATTTTGGAAAACAATTATTATAAGTTTATAAAAAGATAATTCCATTTTAACCCCAAACTTTTTTCCACTAAATAAAATATATCTTAAACCAAACCATAATTGCAATACACAATTGATCACATAAGAAAAGAAAATCCAATGGAGGGGCTGAAAACGATAGAAAAAAAAAGCGGTCCAACTTTTTTTCAACAGATAAAGAAAAAGAGATAAAAATAAACTCTAGCATATATTGGAAAAAAGATTATTATTATTGCCATTTCATTTATTAATTTTTCACGGAACGTCCGTGAATGATATTGATTGTTACCCTTTCCATGCCAAAAGAAAAAGGAAAGAACACAAATCAGTTCGCAGTTGAAATGAACAAACTTATTTCCCCTTTTTATTTTTTTTTCCTAAAATTATTTTCTTAAGAGAATATACATACACACATATAGATGAATTATGGATAGGTGACCAAGAAAGAGGAGAAGGGGAAACACTCGATCCACGAGCTGTCATTGCTGAGTTGTCATTTTCTTCCACGTCATCATTCCACGTCAGCAAAAAATCCTACTTATCAAGAATTCTAAGGAAGACGAAGAGAGCTCATACTATATATATATACAGACATACTAGTGTCTAAGTAATTTTATTAATAATAAAAAGTCTAATTTTAGAAAAACAAAAAAAGATATATAGCAACCTCTATTTATACGAAACTTTTAAAAAATAATAATTATTTTGGTACATGATTTCTAATGAAAGGATTAGATATATGCACGCATTTAGTGCTTCTGTTGCTAAATTTAAAGAAGTTCCAGTATTTTATCTCTTTATTCCAATCCAAATAATTGCGCTTTAACAAATTAATACCAGAACTTAATAGCATTTTGGGAATTTATTACGATTATCTTATATAATTGGAAGGTTATTCATATTATCTTGTATAATAATACACTATAATAATAAAAAAAAAGTTATTATATGTAAAGAAAATCCAAGTGATGATTTAATGACATTTGAAAAAAAACATTTTTCTTCGTGGGGATGGGGGAGAAAAAGTCAACGATGTAAGTAGATTAGTTTTGGAAGAGATGGAGTCAGTCCAAGTCATGGAGTATATGATAATTAATTGCAATTAAGAAATGGTTTAGAGAATAATAAAAGAAGCTTAGACGTATAAATAGGAATCGTGAGGTGTGTGGGGAACTTGGGTTCCAAGGGAGAGAAAACTTAGAGAGAGAGAGAGAGAGAGAGAGAGAGAGAGAATTAGAGACATATATGTAATCAATCACATGTTCCGACGGGCTTTGTGAAGGAACAACGAAGCTATGCCTCCAACAAGAAGTAACACCCATCTCTCTCACGTGCAGATTCAAGAGCCAAGAACTTCTTCTTCTTCAACTGCCTTCAAGGTCTCTCTCTCTCCCTCTCTCTCTGAATCTCTGTTTCAAGAACCAAGGATCTCTCTCTCGCAAGAACCGAGAAAGAACCTCTATTGCTGTGTGTATACAAATACATATATATATATACATCCCTATCCGGATTGACCATTCTCTCTCTCTCTCTCTCTCTCTCTCTCCTCAACCCCACCCTTTGGCTCTGTATCTTCTTCTTCTCTCTCTCTTCGATTCTCTGCTCTGTTTCTCCTTCTCCTTCGTCTCTGCCCTCTGCGGAAAGAAAACTGAGCTCTTCTTTCTCGCTTATCCTTTCTCCATGGTGCTTGCTCCGCCGCATTTTACCCTAATATGTTCAACTTCCCCCTGCATTAGCATCATTTCACATGTATCGGCTTCACACCCGATGATTCTTTCTCCAAGATACCAACTTTTTCCCGTTTTTGTTTTGCAGGAACAAGAAGCAACGAGAAATCCGTCCACACAGCCATCGGCGACAAGCCGATTCAGCAGAAAGCTCTTCAAGGGAATGTTCTTCTCGCAACTCACCCTAGTCTCGGTCTTGGTGATCGTTCTCACCATTCGGGGTCTCATCTCTGCTGATTCACACCACTTCCACCCGAAGAAATGGTACCCTCCTCTGCTAACCTCGGTCGCTGTCTCGGGAACTCTATCTCTAGCATGGCAATGCATCTTTCTATGGAAGGCATCGGCTACACTAAAAGCAGCCTTCTATATTAGCCCCATATTCACCTGCTCGGTCGGGATCATGCTCGTTCTTACCAACTCGACGCCTGTTGCTGCCATTGGAGCCCTTTTCGTATTCTTTTCCATTGTTCAGTCTCTCTATGCTTGTTGGATCACAGAGAGGCTCGAGTATGCCACCAAAATACTATCATCCGCCACCCTTATCCCACCTGCAAAAACCAATGCAATTGTCAGCTTATCGGTAATCGTGGGCGTTTTGTACAGCGGATTCTTGGTCACGGGAATTGGAGGAGCTACTTCGACACGAACGAATTTAGACATCTTGTTCATCTCCTTAATCGTGATAAGTCTGGCGTGGACAATGCAAGTTCTCAAGAACATACAAGAAGTGACCATATCCAGGGCAAGATACATAAACTTCACATGTGGAGAAGACATGGATACATGCAATGCGTTTCGAGTAACGGTTAAAACCTTGCTCGGGAGCGTCTGCATCGGATCAACCATAGTTCCACTCATTGTATTTGCCAGGGGAATGGCCAGGAGCTTGAAACTGCTCACCACAGGCGGAGAGAATTTCATGTGTTTCTACGCCGATTGCTGCCTAAACGTCGCCAATACACTGATTACGTTCGGAAACAGATGGGGGTTTGTTCATGTGGGGATTTACGATAAAGGGTTCGTGGACGCGTCAACTGATATTTGGCATATGTTCAGAAGGATCGAAGGGTTTGAGCAACTAATCGACTCAGACCTCACTGGCTCGTTCTGTTTCCTCAGCGGTGTAATCGTGGGTGCAATATCTGCACTCACCGGAGGAATATGGGTCCTGCTCATTCATAAGGACTACACTCTGGAAGTGACTCTCTACGCTTTCATCATCGGGTATTTCGTGGTAAGAAATCATATTATAAGCTCATTCTCGAACCTAGATACGAGATACTAATCCTAAAAATGTTAAAAGGTATCAACTTGCTAAGTATGTGTACCTGGTTTCTGTCGTGCAGTTCCGGGTAGCTTCGGCATGGCTGCAAGCATGTGTCTTGGCTTACTATGTCGCTTATGTCGAGGACCCGCATAACGCACGTTTTGATGCCACAATTCCACGTCGCATTCAACGGCTTCAAATGTACAATGCCCGGGATAATGACCGGGACAGAGCCCGGGATAGTGACGGCGAGATGTCTGAAATTTGATCACCAGGAACCACAAGTTCAAACATGAAGCAAAACAAGGAAAACAACCGAGTTGATGGAGTAAATAGCTAGTTTCCTTTTACAAGGGTTTAGGTTCATGCTTACAGATTCTATAGATAGACAAAGTTCATGCACCAAACACAAGCTAAGGGATGTGTGATGATGTATATACTCATTTGGTACCAATGGACACAGCCTTCTCCTTCCCAGCTTGTATTTTTTTTTTTATCGCCCACTCTATTGCCTGTTTCATAGTCTTCAGAAAGGGTACAATACAACTCAAGGCAGAAACAGGAAACAGGGTTGAAGTCAAGAAACTGAGATTCACGGTTCAGTGATGCAACTTGCAATCCTATTTCATTTAGAATAGAGAAAAAAAAAAGATTGAAGATAATATAAACAATACATGAATCATGGCATATTAATTGCAATTAAGAAATGGTTTAGAGAATAATAAAAGAAGCTTAGACGTATAAATAGGAATCGTGAGGTGTGTGGGGAACTTGGGTTCCAAGGGAGAGAAAACTTAGAGAGAGAGAGAGAGAGAGAGAGAGAGAGAGAATTAGAGAAAAGGTAAGGAAAACATTGTGGCTGATGCATTGTCTAGACGATACACGTTGTTAACTTCTTTGGATGCGAGAATGCTAGGGGTTGAACATATTAAGGAGTTGTACGAATCTGATCAGGAATTCCAAGATGTGTTCAAGGCATGTGAAAAGGTTGCAAGTGGAAAATATTATCGGTTTGAAGGATATTTATTCCGTGAGAACAAACTTTGTGTGTCTAACTGTTCTATGCGAGATTTGCTTGTTCAAGAGGCTCATGGAGGCGGTCTCATGGGACATTTTGGAGTGGCCAAGACCTTGTCAAATTTTCAGGAACACTTCTATTGGCCAAATATGAAGAGAGATGTTGAACGGGTGTGTGGAAGATGCATGAAGTGCAAGAAGGCGAAATCCAAGGTACAACCCAATGGTATGTATACGCCTTTACCGATTCCCAGTGCACCATGGATTGATATTTCAATGGATTTTATTGTTGGGCTGCCTAGAACTAGGACTGGGAAGGATTCTGTGTTTGATTCAAGAGCCAAGAACTTCTTCTTCTTCAACTGCCTTCAAGGTCTCTCTCTCTCCCTCTCTCTCTGAATCTCTGTTTCAAGAACCAAGGATCTCTCTCTCGCAAGAACCGAGAAAGAACCTCTATTGCTGTGTGTATACAAATACATATATATATATACATCCCTATCCGGATTGACCATTCTCTCTCTCTCTCTCTCTCTCTCTCTCCTCAACCCCACCCTTTGGCTCTGTATCTTCTTCTTCTCTCTCTCTTCGATTCTCTGCTCTGTTTCTCCTTCTCCTTCGTCTCTGCCCTCTGCGGAAAGAAAACTGAGCTCTTCTTTCTCGCTTATCCTTTCTCCATGGTGCTTGCTCCGCCGCATTTTACCCTAATATGTTCAACTTCCCCCTGCATTAGCATCATTTCACATGTATCGGCTTCACACCCGATGATTCTTTCTCCAAGATACCAACTTTTTCCCGTTTTTGTTTTGCAGGAACAAGAAGCAACGAGAAATCCGTCCACACAGCCATCGGCGACAAGCCGATTCAGCAGAAAGCTCTTCAAGGGAATGTTCTTCTCGCAACTCACCCTAGTCTCGGTCTTGGTGATCGTTCTCACCATTCGGGGTCTCATCTCTGCTGATTCACACCACTTCCACCCGAAGAAATGGTACCCTCCTCTGCTAACCTCGGTCGCTGTCTCGGGAACTCTATCTCTAGCATGGCAATGCATCTTTCTATGGAAGGCATCGGCTACACTAAAAGCAGCCTTCTATATTAGCCCCATATTCACCTGCTCGGTCGGGATCATGCTCGTTCTTACCAACTCGACGCCTGTTGCTGCCATTGGAGCCCTTTTCGTATTCTTTTCCATTGTTCAGTCTCTCTATGCTTGTTGGATCACAGAGAGGCTCGAGTATGCCACCAAAATACTATCATCCGCCACCCTTATCCCACCTGCAAAAACCAATGCAATTGTCAGCTTATCGGTAATCGTGGGCGTTTTGTACAGCGGATTCTTGGTCACGGGAATTGGAGGAGCTACTTCGACACGAACGAATTTAGACATCTTGTTCATCTCCTTAATCGTGATAAGTCTGGCGTGGACAATGCAAGTTCTCAAGAACATACAAGAAGTGACCATATCCAGGGCAAGATACATAAACTTCACATGTGGAGAAGACATGGATACATGCAATGCGTTTCGAGTAACGGTTAAAACCTTGCTCGGGAGCGTCTGCATCGGATCAACCATAGTTCCACTCATTGTATTTGCCAGGGGAATGGCCAGGAGCTTGAAACTGCTCACCACAGGCGGAGAGAATTTCATGTGTTTCTACGCCGATTGCTGCCTAAACGTCGCCAATACACTGATTACGTTCGGAAACAGATGGGGGTTTGTTCATGTGGGGATTTACGATAAAGGGTTCGTGGACGCGTCAACTGATATTTGGCATATGTTCAGAAGGATCGAAGGGTTTGAGCAACTAATCGACTCAGACCTCACTGGCTCGTTCTGTTTCCTCAGCGGTGTAATCGTGGGTGCAATATCTGCACTCACCGGAGGAATATGGGTCCTGCTCATTCATAAGGACTACACTCTGGAAGTGACTCTCTACGCTTTCATCATCGGGTATTTCGTGGTAAGAAATCATATTATAAGCTCATTCTCGAACCTAGATACGAGATACTAATCCTAAAAATGTTAAAAGGTATCAACTTGCTAAGTATGTGTACCTGGTTTCTGTCGTGCAGTTCCGGGTAGCTTCGGCATGGCTGCAAGCATGTGTCTTGGCTTACTATGTCGCTTATGTCGAGGACCCGCATAACGCACGTTTTGATGCCACAATTCCACGTCGCATTCAACGGCTTCAAATGTACAATGCCCGGGATAATGACCGGGACAGAGCCCGGGATAGTGACGGCGAGATGTCTGAAATTTGATCACCAGGAACCACAAGTTCAAACATGAAGCAAAACAAGGAAAACAACCGAGTTGATGGAGTAAATAGCTAGTTTCCTTTTACAAGGGTTTAGGTTCATGCTTACAGATTCTATAGATAGACAAAGTTCATGCACCAAACACAAGCTAAGGGATGTGTGATGATGTATATACTCATTTGGTACCAATGGACACAGCCTTCTCCTTCCCAGCTTGTATTTTTTTTTTTATCGCCCACTCTATTGCCTGTTTCATAGTCTTCAGAAAGGGTACAATACAACTCAAGGCAGAAACAGGAAACAGGGTTGAAGTCAAGAAACTGAGATTCACGGTTCAGTGATGCAACTTGCAATCCTATTTCATTTAGAATAGAGAAAAAAAAAAGATTGAAGATAATATAAACAATACATGAATCATGGCATACTGTAGTCTGTAGATACTGGAATACATCTATATATATGTGTGTGATTTGTTGTTCATAAATCACCATAAGAAAACAGATTCCAACGATAAGATTCGAAAGGCTACTATGGAAACGAAACCTTAGTTTGAATTTCAAGACACATGAGCTAATACAGAGTCGAGAGAGAAAGCAAGAGAATCGAATAAGTCATCAGTGTCCTATGTGACCTCGCCCACCGCAGTCTGTGCACATAATGTTACCAGTCCCACCACAACCTACAATCAAAATATGAGATAAAGATGAACCTACTTGCATAAACAGATGGATAAGCAAGTTCAGCAAGGTGATCAGACAAATCCAAGTGCAGAATAGAGGCTTACCTAAGCAACGGACCTTCACAATGATGCCTTGGCTCTCCATTATCGAGTCAACGTACAAACCAGTGCCGGAGCAAGTGGCACAAAGCACTGCACCTTTGGCTTCGCAACAAGAGCATCGCTGATTGTCCCCAATCTCTTTTTCAGACAGAGACAGTCCGACCGGCTCCTCAATTCTCTCTTCCGGTATTGGCTTGTCATAACAGAACATAGACTCGAGACTGCTTCTTTGTCTGTTCATGTCTCTTTTTAAGCATGAACCACCCTATGAGATCGGTGAATTTCCTCATGTTAGAAAGAAGTGTTTTAACTAGATAACTGATGCATGATTACGCATGCTTACACCAGACTACCAAAAAAAAATGTCCTGGCTATCACAACCCGAAAAAACAGATAGTGATGTACATAAAAAGTAATCTAGAGAATTTGATGCCTTAACAAGTTAAATCACTCAGTTATTTACGATAACAAGCTTTAGGAGAAAGATGAACCCGAGGTTAAAAATCTTAAAGCCACTTCTCAAAGGCCCTTCTGAAATGGCACCATTTCGCAATTGAAACAGACTCTCTACGACACCAAAACCAAGCCTTTCCCTCGAAACAATGATACGGAGCTATCAAAAGGAAGGCATCAGCAAGATTTATGATCGTTGTTCGCTACCTTACCTAGATCAACGCTCCTATTGCATACAGGTTCGTGATTAGGATAAACTCCAGACACAAGAGGGCTATGCCCAGAAGAAATGCTCTCACAACAATGGTTCAATAACTAGATCCATATGTAAAGCTATTTACTGGGACAAGAAATGTGCTTGAATATTGGATCACTTCTCAAGTTACACATCTTTTGTACACTCGGCAACGAAATTCCCCATTTTTATTCCACAGAATCATTCCACTATTTTCAATACCAACACCAACGTTAATCCAGATACTCAAAACCATCGTCGTCATCCAGACAGCTGCTCAAGTACATTGGAATAGTTCATGATTTTCCACGAGAAATGGAAAGAAAGCTCAAAGCAGTATGAACGAGAAACCCAAATGCAGAAACGTCTAAATTTATCACTTTTCAAGCGTATAAATTTGCCATGAGAATTAAAGAGATTCTAGGAACGGAAGTTGGGAAGGTTAAATACAGAGAACCTTGAGAGATGCCGAAGGAGAACGAGAACACATTCTTATGGTGGGAACGAATCCAGCGGTCGGAAATTCACGGCGGACTCCACCGGTGACGTTCGAGTTCGCAGGAAAAGTCGGTAGATAAGCAGAATTCAAAGCGGAAATCATCTTCGGAAGCCACAGATCGTCGAATGAAAACGAGAAATGGAAACAAAATTGAAATTTGGGAAAAGATGGATGTTCAAATCGAGAATCTGAAATCGGGAGAAGAGCTTTGGAGAAATCGCCGCTCGAAGGCTTTCGACCTGTAGTGGTTTCGCGGCTCCAAATGTTAACAGACGAGACGACACTTCCGCTGGTCCGAACCAGACCTGTTCGGACCAAACAGATTGAATTGATGGTTCATTCCTGGTTTTCGTGAACCGAATCCGAGTTGTATGTTTCGGCTATTTTCTTTTTTCTTTTTCCAAAATTCATATATAAAATTAAAATTAAATATAATTTTAGATATTCGGTGTTTAAAAAGTATTGTCTTAATTCACAATCAAGCCGATTCTTTGGTTCCTTTACATCTTTACTTGCTAAAAAAGCAAAGTTGATTTTACACCTCGCATTAATTTGTATTAACCTTTTTATCCATTATCACTAATTGGTTTAATTTCCGGTTTACAAGCAAGGGCCCCCTTGCTATTTTCAATAATTAATTTCAGGTAAAACCGACAATGATCATTCACGTAACTTTATCCCAAACTATTTTTTTTATTGAGTTTTTAGTTAAATATTTGGTATTTAAACATGAGATCAACGTCCAAATTACGATATTATATCAGAAATTTAAAACTTTTTAGTGCGAATTTGAATGCAAATCGACACCAAGGATCCGACCGGTTTATCGAATGTGTGATTTTGGATTGATTGTTCGAGTGCTATTTTATTGATCCCATATAATTAGTTATTAAACCAATCCGGTTTATTTTCAATTGATCGTGTTTACTGCTTAAGCACTACACCAAATTTTCTCGAGAAAATTAATTTTTTAAAATGATCCTTCGTATTTTGAGAAATTAATCGACTTGCCCACGGTTTTCCTTTCGTTTTCTCCGAAACGTTCATGGGAATGGAGGACGACGCTTGATCGATAACGAAGCCGACACCTGTCCTCTTCTTCGTTCCCAAAAAGAAAAGGCTAAGGAATGAACTTTTCTCTGACGGTGGTTTTAAAGTGAGTGTGTTTTCTTCTTCTTCTTCTTCTTCTTCTTCTTCTTCTTCTTTCCCATTAACTTCGTTTCTCACAGAGCCAGAGAACCGGAGATTCTGTCCATCTCGGTTTACGGTTGAAAGATTTTCCGTTCCCAAAATTCTGTTATTTTTCCAAAAAAAAAAGGTTAGTTCTTTTCTTCTTCCGGATCGAGTTCGTGTGCGCAACCCATTTCGTTTCTAAGGGCGATTGATGATGATGATGATGACGATTATACCCGATTGGTGTTTCGTTTTCGTTTGAGGGAAAAGGGTTGATTTTACATGCTTTTAGGAGGGAACCCAGTTAATTGTTTGTTGATTTTCGACGAAATCCTAATGCTTTTTAATGTTCTCTGATGAAAGGTACTTAATTTTTCTTTTTTTCTCGTCATTTTGATTCCGGGTTTCTGGGCACCGCTGGGTTTTCCTTTGATGGGTTATCTGTCTTCCTCGAGATATGTTCGTTTCTTGAACATCTCCTTCGTTGTCATCTCTTGTGTTCTATTGATCTTTTCTGCGAATCCGGCTGATTTCCCTGTCCAAAGAAACACTGTCCTAAATCCTAATCCTGAGAACGACTGTAGTGTCCTGAAAGACTTGCATGACTACAAATCCAAGTGCCTTCACCTGAAATCCATAGGCCCGTGCGTTGATCAAGGTTTCATAGACTATCTATCGTTTTTGTACTGCAATTTCGATGGATTTCCAGTGTTGGGTCAGTTTCTCCTGTTCCTCTGGCTCCTTGTCCTGTTCTATCTGTTGGGTGACACAGCATCAGAGTACTTCTGTTGTTCTCTCGAGAGTCTGTCAAAGTTGCTTGATTTGTCTCCAACTATAGCCGGTGTGACCTTGTTGTCACTTGGCAATGGAGCGCCTGATGTGTTTGCGAGTTTGGTCTCTTTCATGGGCAAGTCAGGGGGCACTTATGATGTTGGTCTGAACACAGTTGTGGGAGGTGCCTTCTTTGTCTCCTGTGTTGTGGTTGGAATAATAAGCATCTTGTTACACCAGGAACACGTCCACATTGAAAAAAATGCGTTTCTGAGGGACATTTGCTTCTTCCTCATGGTTATTGCATCATTGGTCGTGATTTTGGTCCATGGAAAGATCAATCTTTTGGGGGCAATTGGGTTCTGTTCGCTGTATGCTGTGTATGTGGTCATTGTGTATCTCTACTGGAGGTTCGGAAGAGAGGCTTTTGAATTTGATCCCGAGTCAATCCACCGGAATGATGTGAGGGAACCGATCTTGCAGAAAGACAGAACTGTTCACATTGAGGAGAGGGTGTTTGAAGAGGCCTGTAGGACAGAAGGCAGTTCCGAGAGAAAGTATTGTTGTAGACTGCTGATCCGAGCTATCGAACTGCCTCTTAACCTGCCTAGAAGATTGACAATTCCTGTTGTGAGTGAAACCAAATGGTCTAAACCGATAGCAGTTGCCTCAAGCACATTTGCTCCGATCCTTCTGGCATCCCTATGGAACTGGGCCTGCAGTGGAATGGGCGTGGATACAAGCCTTGCTTACGGGATTGGGTGTTTTCTCGGCATAGTTCTTGGTTTCCTTGCGTCAGCGAAAACCGAGAAATCAAACCCGCCAAAGAGATGGCTACTGCTTTGGCTGATAGGTGGTTTCGTGATGAGCATGACATGGACATACATCTCGGCTCAAGAGCTGGTGGCTCTCTTAACCTCATTAGGGTACGTTTTCGGGATAAGCCCTTCAATCTTAGGATTAACGGTCCTCGCCTGGGGCAACTCCTTGGGGGATCTGATAACAAACGTGACAATGGCGCTTCACGGCGGGACTGAAGGCGCCCAGGTTGCGATATCAGGATGTTACGCAGGTCCTATATTCAATACCCTTTTCGCCCTCGGGATATCGCTCGTGGGATCGACGTGGAGGATCCACCCGACGAGCATCGTGATCCCGATGGAGCCGGAGCTGTTGGAGAGCCTAGGGTTCTTGGTTGCAGGGCTTGGCTGGGCAATGGTGATGCTGACCAGGAACAGGATGAAGCTCAGTGGAGTGATGGGCATTGGGCTTTTGGTAATTTACTTGGCTTCTTTGTCCCTCAGGCTTGTCCAAACCATTGCAGAGTCTTCTCACTAACTACACACGTTTTTTTTTTCTATAAAATGAAAGTGACAAACGTAGGGGTAGTATAGTATGTATGGTATGGTCGATGACATACATAGAGATGATTGTTCAAATCGACGGCTTGTGTATATACATATTCATATATATATATATGTATATATGCATTGAAAATTCTTCTGTAACGATTGTATTTATATATATATATCTGATTATGTGGTTGTGGTAATGTCAAAGTTGGATGCTTTCGTTTCTCATCTTCTTTCTTTCGTATATATGCCCGAGTGATGCAATTGATTTGATGTGGATTCTTTTTCTTGTTTTTTTCTCCAATAGAGATAATCTGTCATCACAATACATATATATGTATCCGCCCCAAGCGGTTTTATGTATATGTATGTATGTGTATGTCTGAAGTTAGTTGGATGAGGAGTGGACCCTACAAGAACACATTAAAATCAAATCCCTAATCTTGAGGAACTCGTCGAAACGCGTATCATCAAAATTGTGAAATGATACTTGGACCGACATCGCTTGTCTTCTTTCGCCCATTTGCACTCCGCGTGAAGCTTCTCTCTCTCTCTCTCTCTCCTTTTGCTGGATTTTCTATTAAGAATTCATGATCACGTTTTTTTTTTCTTTATATAAAATTTCTATCAACATACATTTTTTATATGAATAAGATTTTACAATATTTTGGCATAGTATGAGAGGCTGGTGTTTTTTTTTTAAATTTCTACAATATTCTTGTAACGTGAATTAAATGTGTTTTTTTATTATATTACCGGGATTTCAATTTTTTTTCTGATAATTTAGAAGTGAATTTTGGTCCGACTACATCATCTATAGAATCGGAGAAATCCATACGAATAAACTTTTCTAAGTGAAGATTCGAATCCGAATTAGAAACGAGTCATCTAATTTTGGATTATTGAGATTTCAATTTTATTCCTAATAACCAGTCCAAGTGATAATTCTAGTGGGACATAAAAAAAAGGTGATAATTCTAGAAGATACCCTTGTTGAATGGAAATTCGAATTGAGAACCGTCGCATTATTACGTAGGGTCCATGAACCAATGAATTGAACCTCTCCAATGTTTCGAAGTCGATACATAGCTTTGAGTTCGACATGTTTCGTAACACAACAAACGTCGAGCTCTCTATCCACACATGTCGCAAAAGGACAATGATATGATACTCACGCCATCTTGTTCATAATCATCATTATTATTTCAAAAAAAAAACAAAAGAGAAAAAAAAAAGCCGTCTTTATGGACTGCATATTCATTCATATACATATAATTTGTATCATTCAATCGAGAAAAAAAAATTGCATATTAATTCATCGGTCGATATCAATGGCTCCGAAAACCCTCGCCAATCTCAAGAAGAGAAAGCAAAGATAGATAGCGACCAAACCTCCACCAACAAGCTTGTCCAATCTCATTTTCTTCTTTGGCACTATCACAACTGCCCAAAGCAATCCCACCATCAAGAACCCTAGTGTCTCGAGCAACGTGTCGTCCTTTGGCATTGTATACGCCCTCGGATATTCGGCCAATGAGGACATGACAAGTGGCACCCCCAGTCCAATCACGGTGTTGAACAGCGGCCCTGCGTAGCAGCCGGACAGTGCCACCTGAGCTCCGTCCATTCCGCCGTGCATGGCTACTGTTACGTTGGCGATTAGGTCGCCTAGAGAGTTGCCCCATGCAAGGACGGTCAGCCCTAATACTGAAGGGCTTATCCCAAAGATGTTCCCTAACGAGACTAGCAAAGCGACCAGTTCTTGCGCTACGATGTACGTCCACGTCACACTCATTGTGAACCCTCCCAGAAGCCAAACCAGCGAGAATTTCTTCGGCGGCTTGGCTCTTTCCGTGGTTAGGAATGCTATGATGCCGAACACCAATCCGATTGATCCCGATATTACGTATAGGTTGATGTTTCTCGACCGGCTGTTCATGGAACTGTAGAGTTCCGTCAGTAGAACCGGCGCAAGGGCCGTGGATGCCACTGCACAGGGTCTCGACCATCTTTCTTCCCCGACTATGGGAATCGTCAGTCTCCTCGGGAGATATAACGGCAGTCCTAAGATATTAAGCGACACCGAGAGGCAAGATCTAGACTTTCTTGGCGGGTGATCAAGATTCAGGATCTTGAATTCTTGTTCTTGAATCCCGGGTGCATGAGCTGTTTTCTTGGGCGAAACCGGTTTCTCGTCATCGACGTAGCCGAGTAACGGAATGCCCATTTCAGCTAATTCCTCCTTGCTCCTCTGAATCAACTCGGGCTTGAGTTTCTTGCTGTCGAAGAAATGTGAGACCGACAAGAACCCTACATAGATGAAGTAAATGGAAACGTAACAGAGAGCAACCCAGATGGTTACTTCGCCGAAGAAGATGATCAAGCAGAGACAACCTAGAGAGATCAGAAGAAACACAACGTCTCGGATGAAGCTGCTTTTGTCTATGGAAACATCTCGGGATCCAATCAACACACATATCGTCCCGACAACGAAACTGGAGACGAAAAAGGCGCCGCCCAAGACAGAATTCAGCCCGAAATCGCCATTGTTGGACCTCGCGAAGGAGGCGACGCTCGAGAAAACGTCCGGAGCTCCGTTTCCGAGAGAGAGAAGCGTGACGCCAGAGATGGTCGGAGACAGTTTCAAGAACTTGGATAAACTGTCCAAAGATGGACAGAAGTAACTCGCTGCTGTATCGCCCAGCAAGTAAAACAGAGCAAACAACCAGCTCGTAAGAACAAGATGACCCAGAACAGGGGAATTCCCGAAAACGCAGTAAAATATGCCAAGATAGTCTATGTAACCCTGTGGTCGACAATCAGATTGAGTTCTAACATAAGAACACTTCGACCAGTGGTCGGAGAGACCGGCGAGTCCGCCGCCGCAGCCGTCGCCAGAGAGAGAATTCTGGGTTTTGAGGACTAAAACTGCTTGATTTTGGCCGCGGAGAGAATGAGGAACGAAGTGGAGATAGATGAGGAAGATGAAGAAGACGTTGAGGAGAAGAGAGATGGAGCGAGAATTCAGAGGCGAGGAGAAAAGGCTTGCCATTCAAGGAGAACTGAAGTTGAGGATAGTGATGATGCCGGGGGTTAGGTTTTTGGATATAATAATGAGGAAATCAGATTTTCCTATGTATTTTTTTAAAAAAATTAATTCCTACGTGTTATTTTTGGACAATATCTGATTTTTTTCATTTTGTACGAGAAATTAAGTGGGGAAGGTTGTATTCTATATATTCTTTTTTTTTTGGATAAAAATTCTATACACAACATACATACATATATGTATATATAATGGTTTTATGGCACCATTAACTCGAAACCCTAATTATCCACTTTTATTAATTACTCGACCAAACGTTTGCACTGAAATTAGGTCTATGGATAAGAATCGGTCGTGTAAATGTTATATAATTTTGAAATTACAAAATTATATATAAGATGTATTAGGGAATAGAAAAAAAAACATCGGTAGCTATGCATGATACATAGCCTAATAATCGGCCAACCTTTTTGTAATTTACTCCACAAGCCTGATGATGACTGCATGTGCAAATGTTTTCTTCACAGAGTTTTATTGCTTCAAAATCCAAAATTACCAAATGTACATAATTAACATGGAGTTACTTTGCATTTATTTTCCATTATCTCGATTCGTATTTTCATGGAATCGTGTATATATATATGCGCGTATTTACAAATGCACAGATACAAGCGTGTGTATGTGTATGTATATTATATTATATCTGTGACCCCGAAAATTGGATAAAAAAAGGGAAGGGACACGAATATATTTGAAAATAAAATACAATAAATTAAATGATATATATATATATATATATATAGGTCGAACATCATGCTAGGGCATACGTGTGCAAGTGCGTGGTGTTCATACGTATATTCAATGGAGGTAATAGAAACTTTTTTTTTATGTGAATTTACATTCATTCAAGAATAATACCCACGCAACATGATTTAATCATAACTACGCCTACATTTATTTGAAATTTATTTTAGAATATATATCAGAAAATATTCACATAAATCTTTCAGTTGAATATGCAAAAAATTAATAATATAGTATATATATGCCACCAATGATTTATAAGCTAAATAGATTTATTTTACTTGTTCTGAAAAAAAGTTATCAAATCTGGTTAACGTGGATTCCTTTCCTTTAACGGACCACGAACACTGCTAATTAAATTAAATTAATCGCTACAATAACGTTATAATAAGATCGGAAACTCCAAACCCTAAAGATCGACACGATTAATCATGCATGTTCGAGACGTAATCCCAACCTATGATCACGACACTTCTTGATAATCCATATCAGTCTTTTTCACATAATTAATATTTAATATAACGTATTATTCTCGAATTAAGTGTTGCATTAAATAATATCAAATACGTCCACGTCATCAAACGACGTCATCTACATAAACAAAAAATCAAGATCCGACGAATAATACAAAGAAAAACACACGTATTTCAGTTCTTCTCTTTCATGTTTATATAGATATTGACTTTTAACTACGAGTGTTTTAAAATTATTACATACATAAATTAATTAATCTAAAAAGTATTACGCGCATCAAAATAATAAAATTGGACCTCTCACGTAAGAGAAACTATCCAAAATTCTGTAAAGATAGAAATTGAATTGAAAAATATTGGACTGTGCAATCTATTTTTTTATATAAAAAAAATCAAATGAATATCGATATGTCGCCACGAAGGGGGACAATATCAATATTTACCATTTTCTTTTCTTTTGAAAACATTTTCTAAAAAAATTTGGGTAATTAAAGATTCGGTATTTTCATTTCATCCAGCTGTCAGCGATTGCGTAGTGCCAAGAAGCAGTACACAAATAAATTAACGGATAATGCAATAATGCAGCCGGTTCGTGGTTATCAACGTACCGAATTTAGAAAAAGTGTAATCACGTGGGCGAGATCAGCTTGAATTAGGTATTTGCCAAAGACGTTTTTACCTGTCATACACATTTTTCATTGATTCGTATATATGCCCATAATATATGTATATGCCGAGAGGGGCCTAGGTACGTGAATGTCATAAATATGACGGCCACTATAGGTTTATAATGCCTAATTTGGGCTAACAAAGCGAATCTTTTTTTGTACTAGTGAATGAATTGTCACGATGATATATCATCATCATCATTATTATTATTATTATTATTATTATTATTATTATTATTATGGTGATAGTGAGGCAGTGAGACATGGATAATATATATGCATATTAAAATCTAACATAATGTGCGATTGATATCCGATCATAATATTATTATTAGAAATAAATATTATTATTTTTTATTATTTGTCTGATAAGATCCGCTCAAATATAAAAAATATCGATGCATAAATACTAGATAAATATTTAATTTTAGATTTCTGAATCATAATCATAGTAATTTAAATACGTTTCAACCAAAGTAATATAATTTCGTCATTAAGAGTGATACACTAATCCATCTTTGGATCTAAATTAATGTTATAAAATTTCATATATATATATACATATAATTGGAATCCTATGACAAACAATAATTCCATGTATTTGGTAGGGATGGATGCATGTGGTCTCGAGGCTTCAAAAATGGATATTGTGAAGATGTTAGACATCAAAATGGTCACGTCACGTTAATGGCTTGCAAATTTGCAAACAAAAACGAATAAAATCGAAGCCTAATTTAGGCACGGGCTTTCTTAATATGATTAGACAGTTTTTGTGCCTCGAGAATGTGATTGTTAACCCTAAACATCGTTAATAATAATAATAATATTATATCTAATCTAATGTACTACAAAATTCACTTAATCTATGTAATATATTTGAGAATTTTGTAATCTTTAATTTGTTTCTAAATTATCTCAAAGCATCTATCAATCTCGATAAAATTATCATGCAAGAACCTATACGTATATAATATTCTATCAGTCTAAAAATTATAAAATAAAAAATATGCGAGTTTCGAATATTGCCTTTTTTTTTCTTCTTCTGAAAAATTCAGAGATATTCCAACAGTTTAGATGGAATACATTCATAATATTCCATAATTGAAAATAAAGCGATGGGCTTTATTTTTCTCGCAAGGCCCATTGGGTAGGATAAATGATCAAATGGGCCTTAATAGCACTTTAGGCCATATTTTAATTTTCCTTACAAAAACCCAATTAACCGGAAAATCATCCGGTTTAATGTTTAAATTAAACAAAATGATTCACTGCTCCGTCTGGTGGAAGGGCCCATTTCCAATATTGGGTCAAATATCTTGAATTTTCTTCATATCGGTTAATCTAAAAGCCCATTAAAGGCCCACTCAGCCCAGTGTTAATTACGGTATTTTTCTACTCTCTCACATTTTCAAGAAAAAAGCATCGGAAAATAGATCTCAAGCGTACGTATTAATTGACTCCCGTGCGGCGGAGCAAACTTCGACGGCTCCGACCACCATCCCATCTGTCGTCGTATCCATCTCCCGCCGTTCCGAACTGTTAGGGTTTGTGGAGTTTTTTCAATCTGAGATTCTTACAAGCGCCTGATATCCTTGCGGAATCGTAGGCGGAGGAGTTCGCTTTGTCTCATTCTCTGGTATAGTGTTTTTTTTTTTTCTGTTGTGCTAGGGTTTCTTCGAATCATTTTTTTCTTGAAGAATGTTGTGTTCTTACGCAATTGTCTTTTCCTCAAAGCTAGAAACACTAGTGATTCTGTTCACAACTTTTGTTAGGGTGATCTGCTCGCAACTCCACTAGGGTTCCGAGAGCGTTTGCGAAATGTTTTGTTTTGGTTCTGTGGTGAATTGATGGGTTTTCCTCAAAATTTTGATATTTGATGGTTTTGGTTGATAGAGTAAAGGATATTGTGTGTTGGGCTTCTCAGCTTTGTTTGGTTACTAATATGTTGCGAGGATTTCATGGATCTTTTTTTCGAATCTTTTGAGTAGAGTTTGTTTGCTCTCTCATTCTCGTTTTTCACTGAATATTCCTTTGTTGTTATGTATATCGCTCGATGGCTTTTGGTGAACTACAGATGCTAGGGGCCAGTTTGGATTTAATTCCTTGGTTTCTTAATGATAACTAATTAAGTAAACCCTTTTTGTTTGCACGAAATATAGCTTAAGGATTTGGCTTTCTTCTTGTTTGTTTTCCTAAATGGCTCAAATTTCTGATGTGATCGACCCATGCTTGCAGAAACAAAGATGTCGGTCACAGCGGGTGTTAGTGATACTATAATTGCGATTAGGGAAAAACTGAGAGGAAAGATTGGCCAGACAAAGGTGAAAAGGTACTGGCCTGGAAAAGCTCCCGAGTGGGCTGAGGAAGCTGATGATGATGAGGATGTTAGGATGCAGAGAGCAGCTGCTGTGGAGAGAGCTTTCCCGAAGCTGCTGGATTCAGGGGTTGCTGGGAAGGACGATCCGAGGCTGCGTCGTCTAGCGGAGAGCAGAATAGAAAATCGTGAAGAGCTTAGAGCTGATCATCGGAGAATCAGACAGGCTGAGATTATTTCTACAGAAGAAGAGTTTGGGAAACAAGAGATAAGAGATGAGGAAGAGGATGAAGATGCCTTGGAAGAAAGAAGGAGAAGAATCAGAGAAAAAAATCTTAAGAGAGCACAAGAAGAAGCTGCTCTACTTCCGGTGGAAGAAGAGGAAGAAGAAGAGGAAGAAGAAGAGGAGGAGGAAGAGTCAGAGTATGAGACTGATTCAGACGAAGAGATGCCAGGTATGGCAATGGTAAAGCCCGTCTTTGTGCCCAAAGCTGAGAGAGACACAATAGCTGAGCGTGAACGACTTGAGGCTGAAGAACAAGCCCTTGAGGAATTAGCCAAGAGAAAGTTGGAGATAAGGAAAAAGGAGACAAAACAATTAGTGGTTGAGGAGGTAAGGAAGGATGAAGAGATTCAGAGGAACATGGAAATGGAAGAAGCGAATATCGCTGATGTGGACACTGATGATGAGATGAATGAAGCAGAGGAGTACGAAGTTTGGAAGACTAGAGAAATTGCCAGAATCAAGAGAGAAAGGGATGTGAGGGAAGCCATGGTAAAGGAGAGGGAAGAAATAGAGAAGTTGAGAAACATGACAGAGCAAGAAAGGAGAGAGTGGGAGAGGAAGAATCCAAAACCAGCAGGTCATCCGAAGCAGAAATGGAAATTCATGCAAAAATACTTCCACAAGGGCGCATTCTTCCAGTCAGATGCTGATGACCAGGCCGCATCGGTTGGAGCAGACGAAATTTTCCACCGTGACTTTTCTGCTCCAACTGGCGAAGACAAGCTGGACAGATCGATATTGCCTAAGGTCATGCAGGTCAAGCACTTTGGTCGCAGTGGGAGGACTAAATGGACCCACCTTGTCAATGAAGACACCACAGACTGGAATAGCCCGTAAGTCCATCTTTTTCTCGTCTTCAAATTGCCTGTTAATCTTTTTTTTTCTTGCACATTTGTTTCCAGATCCCTGGTTTGGAATTAATCAAATTCGTACCCCTGAAATCATTACTGATTTGGCAATTCAATTGATTATGACCCAATTTCAACTAGATCCCTCTTTGTTGAACATGTTCTCCTTAAAACCCAAGAGTCACATTTGCTTCCTGTTTGATAATGCATGCTACTACTTGAAATGGACAAACAGTGCACATGTTTCCATCATCCTGGTTGACAGATTTCGAAATCTTGTTTCAAGGGCCTCTGGTACATTAAGGGTGGTAATCTGTGATTTTGCAGGTGGACTTCGAATGACCCTCTACGTGACAAATACAATGCGAAAATGGCAGGGATGAATGCTCCTATATCCAAACCAAAAGGAAGCAAGAAAATGAAGGATTGGGAGAGCTAACTTCTATAGTACCCTACCGCCTCTGTGCTACATTCTATCTATATATCATGTCATTGGTAGAAGTTGGTCTTTTCTTCCACATGTATCTTTTACCCTGGACGTAATCTCAGGGGAAGCAAATACAGATGCCGTGTGGAGACCACTGATGGGGGGGCAGTTGCTGTGGAGAAAGCCAAGTGATACGAATCGGTTCACCATTATGCAACGGCCAGTTCATTTCGTGTGCTCAATTGGTCCCAACCCAAGGGCATGGAGACTTCTAACTAGGAGTTTGAACAATGGGTGTTTAGGATCTGCGAGCTGAATATTGATTCACTTGGAATCTCTTAGTTTGAACAATCCTTGGATCTCCATCTTATGTAAAATCATGCATCCAGTTTTAGCAGAACCATTTTATGTTTCTCCATTTCGTCTGATAAAGGCGTCGTTTATTCCAATCCAACATGTGTTCTCAGAAGCAACTCAACACAAGCCGTTTAGTAATATTGGCAGCATCGAGGTGGTCAAAAATTGTGTTATTACACAAGAAATGCATGCAGAGCCTCATTCAGCAGTACAATACCAAAGACTTGTGTTCGATCTTTGCTCAGCCAAACTCTGCCCAGAATTCCACTATTCTCTTTTATACAAAAAGAGAGTCATTGTTCTCTTTTCCATCAGGTTAGTTTGTCATTCTTACATCTACTTGCTCAATCTTCTGGCATGGGGTTGTTGTTGTTTTTCTACGGCTGTTGAACCCGCAGGCTCTGGCTTCTGTCTGGCCCTCCATTGGTCTAGTGCCTTGTGCTTCTGTCGTTTGTACCGTCTGAGAACTGCGCCCAGACGCTTCTCGTCTTCCCTCCACTCACCTCATCCTCTTCACACCCTGCAACTGTTTTCAGAAGCTCAGACTGCAATAAAGGGCAGTGCTCTCTCAGGTACGCAAACCCATCAGATCTCATCACAGCTGCAGTCAAATTCAGGACAACAACCGTTAATCTAGTTGGGCACAGTCTCGGATTCGAATCCATACAACACAGAAACAGTGCTCGATGACAGAGGAGAATGTCAAAAGCCAGTAATGAGTCTTCGGAAACATACCAACAAGATTTTCTGCTGCGAACTTGAGACAAACAGATTTTAAGGCGGAAGCATTGTGGCGGTCAGCAATGGCCAGAATGTTTGCAACAGAATTTACGGACAGACCCTTGCAGAGCACGGATTCACACATCAGGCTGAGCCTAGGTAACCTGTATTTATCAGCAGCCGCCAGCAACTTTGCAGCCAACGTGTCTGATGCCGATGAACCGGTAGTTGCCAACTCCATTTCTTCGACAAGGGCATCCTTGTAGATATAGTGCAGCAAAGCCTTCGATAAACAAATGCATCAAGAACAAAATTAAGAACCATAGAGATAAAAAAATGCAATGTGCTCATGGGTCTATATCATGTTTATACCTTGAGTCAGAAGTTGAAGACAAGTTTACCTTGAAAACCCTAGGTTCCATGTCAGTGACTTCAATTTCTCGGTCTTCATCTGCAGTCCCCTCGAGCAGCTCATTTTCGTAGACAGGTGAACGGGCAGCCAAGACCAACCTATGAGCACGGAACTTCTCGCCTGCCACATTAAATGTCACGTCTGAACCTTCCTCATTCTCCAGCAGCGTCCCAAAATGAGATCCGATATCAGATTCAGGGACATGGATCAGATGGTATCTCGGACAATCTGTTTCTGAAACCACAACTCCCACAGTGCAATTGATTTTCAGACAATCATCCTCGAGAAAATCAGATGCTTCTAGCATAGCTCTTCTGAAAAACCGCTTATATCCCCTGTAGAGGATAACAGTGAATATGCATTCATTCAATCAACAACTTTTCAAGAGAGAAAGACACATCAGAATGGGCAAGAAGTTAAACATGGATAGACAGATGTAGGATGCATACACGGGGATCAATCAATACAAGGAAGTGTACTGTGCCAACACAAACTTCCTGCCCCGAAATTAACCCTCGATCCGAAGACATACCCATCTAAATCAAATGAAGCAATGCATTGCCATGCAAACCATCCAAAGCCATATGTAAACATGCCAGAAAAAAGTTCAAAACTTTTACGCGAAGACAGGGCAAGCTATGGGCTGGTGAAACAGCAAGTATCAAATATTGGATTTTTCAAACATTCAGGCAATGTAATTGATCTCAAAATTTCCAGAGCTACTCATCTGAAATGTTGCATCTTTTTTTTAAAAAAGTTTCCTTACAATGCTTCAAGACAGGCATTTTCGTGACAATTTCAAATGAGACAAGCAAACAATTTGAGAAACCAAAGTCTATTGCTTCAGAGAAAAAACATTCTGACTTCGAAGGCTTTTCTCAATGCCAAATCATGCTTTTCTAACCTAACTTTCAGATCTATGCATATGTCTTCTGCTTAGTTCTCATGCGATCACGAAGAAAATCAAACGGATTGGGGACTTTGTCTGCCCTATCCTTGAAAGTGCTTCTCCAACCAAAGAATCTGCCCAAAATCTCAGCCATGATCTCATCTGCAAGAATGTTCCTTTTTTTTTTCTAGGTTACACATCCAGCTTCTCATGAAACCAAATCATATTTCAGAAATTTAACCACTGGCAATATCCCTATACTCCTATCCAAGCAAGGAAAAGGGCCCCCGGAAGAAAAAAAGATAACTTTGTTCTGATATCTCTCTCTTTCACTATGATGACCGCAAAAGAACTACAATGAAAGCAGTCATCTAAAATGGGTATCAAGCATAATTCGATTCTTTCCAAACCCTAGACAGCACAAAAATCAATTTCAAGAAGATCATGGAACACGAACCACATGCTTCCGCGGTACTTGAGGGTGTAGGGACCGCTCTCGAGGGGTCGATCGAAGTGGCTATGGACTTTATGCTTCCCTTTCCCGCTCTGATCGAGCAACGAAAGCTCAAACAGAGCCCTAACATCGGTGCCGTCGCTGGCGAGAGCGATGAACACCGACACGTACGCCGAATTATCCTCCGGATTCTTGCCGTCTGGGTAGAAGTAGATTGCCCACTGGTATCCTCCGACTTTGAAGGTGTCGCTCGCGATGTGTTTCCCGATTCCGATTCCTTTGGCCAATGAATAGCCCTCGATGGTGAAGCTATGCGATCCGTTTATGGTTTGTGTGACGGAGAGGGAAGTCGTCGTCGGTGGCGATGGCATTTCGATCTCCGCCCGGATTTTCTTGGGAAAGCGAGAAAATTTCGGAAGAAGAAGTTATGAGGATATATATATATATGTATGTATGTATGTATGTATGTATGTTTAGCAACGTAGTTTGGTGGGGTTTTACCACTTTGAATCTAAACTCTCACAACATGCGTTTTGGTTTATAAAGTTGTAACCTTTAAACACATCGTTAACCCAATTTTGTATTAACGAAATCACATCAAATGTGAAGCTTCAATTCTGTAATTAAGCGATTTAATTGGTTCTTGGAATCTCATAAATATCGTAACTTCGATTAAGATGACTACTAGTCCATTGTTTCGGCCATCTTTAGAAAATGCAGCAAACAGTCGCCGAAAAAACCTCGTCTTGAAGATACCCATATCATCATAGCGACAGATGCGGTTCCTACGATGCGCAAACTTGATCCTTCCATGGCTGACTCCGCAGGAGCTCGCTGTCGTATCCCCCACCTGCAAAACCTTTGCCCTCCGCCGATCCGTTATCTCCGCTCGGCCCCTCGAGAACCTCCCGCTCCCGTTCTCCAACGACCGTCGACGGCCACCGCTACGCGTTCTTCGTAACCCTCGTCAGGTTGTCACCTAATATTTTCCGGCGTCTTCGTCGCCGCGGCAGGGCTGGGTTGCGGCTCCAGGTGCCAGCGAATCGGACGGAATCGGTGGGAATCCGGTAAGTCGAGTGGGTCCGGACTCGGGAAATGGATCAGCGGATCTTCCCAGATTGGCGTCCGGGTTCTGACTCGGTTTCTCGACACGGGTAACACAGGAGAAGATTTCGTTTCGTCTGAAGATCAGATCACTAGAGATGAGAAGAAAGGTTGGTGGTTGTATGCCTGATCAGTTCATCTGCGAATTCGCAGGTACATTCTGATACTTGTGAAATGAGACACCCTGTGTTGAAGTGATGATGTTGTGTCTGCAAAAGCTGATAGCTTTGATTGATGTACGACTCATTCCGTGAAAGAAATCGAGTTGAAAGTGAAACTTGAGGTTAAATTAACCAAAAGGAACACAAATGTCAGGTTTCAGGATTGGAAATTTGGAATTTGCTTCATCCGTTGAAGAATATTTTTGCTGGAGTGGTTGCATTATTCGACGCTTAGAAGTTTAGAGAATAATGCAGTGCTGAACTAGGAAGTGAATGGTAAATGCCGGTCGTTTCTCTAATCTGTATTTCATGAAAGAGTCGTGAACCTATCTATTGTCTTGTTGTAGCCGAATTTGGATGCTGTTTTCAAGCCATAATGTGTTGGTATAGAATAGAATCCCGCTAAGGCTATACATCGATGCGCTGGATTGAACAAGATACCGAGTTCTCTTGCTGTGTTTTCTCGGGTTGTCAACTCTTCTTGTGGTCTCAAGATTATCTTCCCAGCTTCATCTAACAGTTACTATGGCACTACCTTTGATGTTTGTACACGACAATGCTCGATCTTTATCGGGGTTTTTTGGTCTGTAATAAGTCCATCCATGGGTTGGATTTGCACTGGAGAACCACCGGGCATAAGCAATATGTATATAGCTCACAACCCACTTGTGCTGCATAATGATCCATGTAGAGATGTGAACATTGCCCTTTTCATTTCCAAGGACCTAACTCCTAGATCTGGTCTTTTTCTGAAAAGTCTTGAGTTCTTGAATCTTTCTTGACGTTGCAACTTGTAAAGCACTCACATTAGATTCATCTTTCTGTATAATGATACTCACTAAACTGTGCTTCTTGTAACGAAAGTATCATTGATTACTTTGATGCTTCTTCTGCAGAAATTACTCGGCAGTAAAAGCTGAAAGGATCCGTGTATATATATATATAGACGTGTGTGTGTGTGTATACACATATATATGGATTGGTAGAGGTGTATTGAGTATACTGTTGTTTCAGACGTTGGGAAGAAGAAAGAAGTGGAGAAAGGGGGGGAGCGCGACAGAAGAGATGAACGCTGTTGGTTAGCTTGCAGTAACCCACACGCCACGGACACCACGATTCTTGTGCCTCTTCCCTTTCAGACATCTACCATTACCGCCTCTACATACATATATACTTACACACACACACATACACATACATTGCATACATTGTGTATATCTCATGTATCTACCAGATCATGTAATCTAGTGGAATTATACACGTCATCAATCAACTATACTTTTGACATTTTTGGCAGGTTCTTCTTGTATAGACCGATGTTTATTTCTCCCTTTTTTTTTTCTCCACCAAATTACTCTACTTTTGGGATTATTTACACTTGAACGTTTAAATATTAATATTTTTTCCCGTTTCGGAAATGTTTTAGGTAATATTTTTCTTTATAAGCAAAAGGGTTTCTAGAATTATCACGAAATCATTGGAATTGAATTTCGTGATTTCTTGTTTTGTTTTTTTCATCCGACAACTTAATTTTCCGACCACTAAAACTTTGAGTTGAATTTGCGCCATAAATATAGAAAGCGTATTAGCCAGATTTCATGTGTATGTATAAGTATTTCGAACAAGAGGACTAACAAAAAAACATCGAATTATTTAATAATTTTTAGAAAAAAATACTATTTTTTAAATAAAAATGGAATATAAATTTGAATAAAATTCATTAATATAAAATTAAATGTTGACATATTTTTTTAAGAAACAGAATTAAAAAAATAAAAGAAATGCCAAATCTCGAAAAATAATTACAATTATATCTATAACTTGTTTTTGAATTGAAAAGGACAAATATTTGTATTATTTTACATCGTCCAACTAAAATTATTCAAAACATTATTTTTAACGAATTCCAATTTTTCCAAACAATTCAATCCTTACGTGTATAAAATAATTACTTGCCAAAAAAAATGAAGAAACAATAAATATATATGGATACGGTATTTTTTAATCCATCGAATAAATAAATTTAAAAAAAAAATAAAGAAAAAAAAGAAACAAATATGACACTCTCTTTGCACGTGCAGCTCACACCACCTCTCACCTTCTTCCCATTTCTTTCCTCTTTGTCTTTCACCTAACGGTTCCAACCGTAACGCCTCTACGTACACTAGTCTGTAATCCTATACCCCCATCCACATGTATATAGAATTATACATCTATATACGTACATATATATGCACGGGTTAAAGTGGATATGTATAAGTCGTAGTTATCATATGGAATTTGAGAGGGCATACACTGGTAATTCATGAATATAGTCCTAATATAGAGATTTATACATTACAACCTATATAATTTATGTCTACACAATGTAACATTTCATCCCGTTTCTTAGTCTTTCCATCCTTTTGTAATTATTTGATATATTAACATACATATACATATATATGCATATGTATTATCAATTACGTTCCCATTGATGACGCATAAACATTTAATTAACGCGCAAAAAAGAAGGATGTGAAAGTAATTAGAGGTTTTTAGAACAGATAAATTACAAAATGCCGTTTTTAATATATTTCCATATGTACATTGGATTTATTTTTGTTTTAAATATAGACCAAAAAAATAATTAAAAAAAAAAAGATTACCACATTCACCTCGCTACCTTCTTCATGAAACAAACGTGCCCTCCTCCATTTTTCTTTCGCTTATAAACGCCAAAGCCTCTCTCTTTCTATACACACACAGATACACGTATACACACACATATATCCAAACACATATATAATAGCATCGACATCATATCCTCACAAGAAAATCTCGATTACCCCATCCCCATATATACATACAGACGTGTGTATATATATACATGGCTGATCATCCACGCGGACACGACACCTCCGAGAGTCGGCGGAAGTCGGCGGCGGCGGCCGGAAAACGCAGCACCGCCGCATCATCAGAGCCTCCCCCGCCTTCGTGCGGCGGAGCCCCGGCGTCGCCGTGCGGGGCGTGCAAGTTCCTGCGGAGGAAGTGCGTGAGCGGTTGTATATTCGCGCCGCATTTCGGCTCGGACCAGGGCGCGGCAAGGTTCGCGGCGGTTCACAAGGTCTTTGGGGCGAGCAACGTGTCGAAGCTCCTCCACCATATTCCGGCGAACCGCCGCCACGACGCGGTGGTTACGATCTCTTACGAGGCTCAGGCCAGGCTCTCCGACCCCGTCTACGGTTGCGTCTCCACCATTCTTGCTCTCCAACAACAGGTCAGTTCATTACAACCGTACATTCATTTATATACGTGTGCACGTACATATATATATGTGTGTGTGTTTGTATGTATGTATAGGTAGCTTCGTTGCAGGCGGAGATGGCGGTGGTGCAGACACAGCTGATAAACAGTAGAGTCGCCATGGCTGACGTAATGCAGCAACAGAGCCACCACCACCACCACCACATGGTCATGCAACAACCGGAGTACTCCAACAACTCCTCCGCCTCCACCACTCTTGCCGGAGCCACTGTGACCAGCTTCACGGTGGCCGCCGCTGGCTTTGACGTCGTGGGTTCGGCGGATGAGATTGTTGGGACGGTGGGAGGGCCGCCGCGTAGCTTCGAACACTCCCTGCAACCGCAACCCCTGCCACCGGGGAGACAGGGTGGGATGGAGGAGGAGGAAGAGGAAGAGAGCGACGGGGATTTTCAAGCGGCGGAGGGTATATTTCCCGGCGAGATTTTTCACCGGAGATGAGCATGCTCTGTCTGAGGATATGTCTTTACTTTTAGAAACTAAGGAATAAAAACACAGTAAACAGACCTCTCTTTAACGTTGGAGAATATATTACATGAGATGTTTAATAATAGAGATATAAATAGTTTTCCATTCTCTTACTCTCTCTCTCTCTCTCTCTCTCTCTCTCTCTCTCTCTGAATGTGAGTAAAAATTCTGCCATTTACTATGAACTACGTTCAGAGACAGGAACCAAAACCGGACTGGAATCATATCGCATACAGACAGAAACTGGAACAGTAGTAATGGTTCAACTTTGACAAAGACTGGTAATAGATTCATATGAACAGCTTGGCCATTCCCAAAAACCAAAAAGACATTAATTGCAGAGTTACAGAGTTTTGATCTGCATATACATATACACATACATATATATATATATATATAGTCTTATGTAGATACTAGTCTACCAAGGAACAACAACACCAGAACCAAACAGAACATCGCCTTTATCGCTCATGCTCTCCATACCCTGCATTAACCCCACGCACATCAGATGAAAGCAATCATTGCTACTTAATCTCTGGAATCAATTCAAGAACTATGAATCTTGATCATGATGAGGGAATCGGACCGAGAAGGGCAAGAACAGGGCATGGTAAGGGGGGAGGAGAGTGTGACCTGAATCTCGGGGAGTCTCGAGAGTCGTTAAGTGCAGACGTGGAGGAGGAAGGGAAGACACTGCTGGGACGGGCGAGCCACGGCTGCTGGGGGGATTGCTGTTGTGTAGCCAACCGTCTTGGACTTGAGACGCGAACTGAAGATTCCACAGGACATCCTCAATGGATGGTCTCTCCGACGTGTCTTTGAGGAGACACCTCATGCATATTTCCATCATCGTCTTTAAAGACTCGTCAGAGCACGCTCTGTGGACTGTCGGATCCACCATGCTTCTGCGAGCATCATCCACCGTAATGCTTCCTTGTAGCTGTGAATCGGTTATTACAAAATGTCAGAGTTTGAGACTTCCAAATCTCGAGGGGGCGTTGCAAATTTGCAACTAGAAAGTTGTCTGAATCCGTGAGAACCATATGAGTTTTTTACCTGATCCTTTAGAACATCCACCTGACTCTTTGTCTTCAACGGTCTTCCCACGATCAGTTCAAGCAAGATCATTCCAAAGTCGTAAATATCAAGTTTATCCCCGTCTTTCATCCTGCCCGAGCAACAAACAGAGCCAACCGAGATGTAAGTTTATAACAGAGCAACGAGCCCAACAGATTGATCCCTTTCTTTTGCAGAGTAACAAGATTTTCATACCCTGCATTATCTTTTGACCCACTCGAATGTATTCCCTGCCCAGCCTTGAAAAGAAAACCGAGCAAATTTCAGTACAAAACTATAGCCCAAAAGAAAGAATGGATTTCAGATTGTTAAAGCATAGAACTTTTTTCACCGTACCTTTCCAAGACCCTCCAGCAGTGGAAGGTTATAGCTACTTATTTTGGGCCCGAGGTTATTGTCCAGCAAGATGTCAGTTATTTTCAGGTTGTTCGCATAAACACCTGGAACGATACCCGTATGCAAGAACTGGATCCCTTTCGCTACCCCTATCGCAGCACTTATACGCTGTTCCCAGGTAAGCAATCGTCCCATATGCCCATCTGAACATAGTAACAACAAAAAGTTTAGGATCATAACTAGACCTCTGTTGTTTTTACTTGTGTATGGTTTCGGGAAAAAGGTTCAAGCTTTTACCAGAAATCCAGCTCCTGAGGTTCCCATTTGGAACAAACTCGAAAACGAGGAACATTCTGCTGACGGTAGAATCGTCCAAGTAGCACTCGAAGCAGTGTCCAAGTGCACTGACTAAGTGGCGGTGCCTCAGTTTAGCAATTAGCTCAATGTGATGCATAAAGTTTTGGGTGCTGCAACTTTTCTTCATTTTCAAGCATCTAATTGCCACAAAGGATCCATCTTTTAACTTCCCTCTATAAATCTGAAAGAAAAAAGTGGGAAGAAGATCAAATCTTACCTTACTATGCCTTTACTTACAGTAGCAGTTGTTGTTTCATGGACCCAAAACACTTTATATGATCATTTTTTGAGCCAAACTTAAGCATAAAGATTGCAACTGACCCAAAATTTTGGGAGAAGTTAGGATGTTTTACCTGTCCCTGAGAACCTTCACCCATGAAAGCAGATGTTTCAAAGTTATTAGTGGCATACTCGAGCTCTTCCAGTGAAAATGTTCTGTAGGCTGGAATACCAAGTGCACCTAGCTTCATTGTCTGAGAAATATACCCTTTGAAATATCACAAGAAGTCATCAGAAACCAAGTTAATGAATGAAAAATGTGACATCAGACTTATGGTTCACCTTCAAGAAACTGAAAGCAGATGATAAGGATACAGATCTTACTTGCATCTGACAGCAACTTTGATGTGTATCCAGTTGTCGCATTCTCCGTGATCAATCTCGGTGGAGCTTTCTTTGCTGTTTTCTCGGAATTTACTCTTCTCACAAACACTGACAAGAAACCAACGAGCAGAACCACCCCAATAACACCTGCAGTTATGCCCAAGGCAAGACCAACCTTCGAGACCTTCTTCTTCCTCTGGGGTAGAATCCCGACAGCCAGAGCTTCATTGCTACAGAATGAAACCGGATGCTGATTTTCATCTCCGGTAGCCAAACAGTTACCCCAATATGCAATCAGTCTGCTCTTGGAGCTTGGTTTAAGACAGGTAGGTAAGCTTCCGGTTAAAAGATTTGATGATAGATCAACAACCATCAGCTCGGAGTTGCAAGAAAGATTCAAATTAAGTCGTCCAGTGAATTTGTTTTGTGAGATGTTCAGATAGGATATCCCGGGGAGAGATAGAACAGACATAGGAAATGGCCCAATGAACATATTGGAGGAAAGATCCAAATGTTGAAGCTGATAAAAAGAACCCACTTCTTCAGCTGGAATTCCAGACCTAAACCTGTTCTTGCTCAGTATGAGAGTAACCAACTTGTTACCAAGCCTAGGAAACTGAGGTCCTAAAGAATTGCCTTCTACATCCAGAACTTGAAGGTTTGTCAAATGGCTTAAATCGGGCACTTCACCATTGAAGCGGTTGTTCGCAAGATCGAGAACTCTAAGACCCGACAAGCCACTCAGGGAAGAAGGTAATGATCCATTGAACGCATTCTTTCTCAAACTCAACACTTTCAAACCAGAGATAGAACCAATCCAACCCGGTAACTGACCAGAAAACATGTTCTCGTCGAGTATAAGGGTCTGAAGACTCGCCAGTGATGAAAGTTCATGAGGAATTGCTCCGAAAAGAAAATTGGAACTGACGTTGAAAATCTCCAGCGAGGATAAACGGTTGAACTTTCCAGGTAATGGACCCCATAATCCAAGAGAGACCAAGGTGAGAACTTTTATGTCGGGAAGCTTAACAAGAGTTGTCACAAATGAATCTATAGAGAAACTTTTCGGTAACAAACGAGCCCTCCTGTTTCCTATAATGTGAAGCTGAGTCACGCTCTCTTCATAGCAAACAACGGTCAGAGACGGGTTTGGTTCAGAGTTGCAGAAATCAGTAGAGCTGTTCCAGCTGCTTAAAACCCTTGGATAGTATAGGAGCTGTTGGAGCCTAAAGAGGGTCTGAGATTGAGATGACTGCAAATGCCAAGAACCATCAATGGCGGCCAAAAGCAAAACCAGAACCAGCAATGCTGAACTACAGAATGCTCTCTCCATAGCTGAAATCATGCACAGAGAAACAGCTTGTCTTCTCATGGCAGACGAGAGCATACAAGGCATTTGTCACATAATATGCCCTGCAAACATTCAAGAAATCTAAGCTAACAATACTGATGGAGTTCGCATTGAATAGAGTACTGAATTTGGCTCAAAACTGGGTCCACCTGCTGATTGCCATATATCCTTCTCCCTCTCAAAGATCTAAACCCCACATTTTCCATTTATATCAAACCTAGTGTAAACATACTCATGAACATTTAACAAAAAAAGGTGTCGTCTTTAACACATTCAATAACAATCACAGTCAGATTCTTGTGGTTCTATATAAACATCAAGAACACCAGATTTTTTGACATGTTTCTCAGAATAGCTGGATCCTCTACAGAGCTCAAGACAGAGAAAATTGCATGCAATTAGCAGAGAGATGAGAGAGCTTTTACCAATGGGAAGATCATATGGGCCAGGGTTCTTATAACTTGAAGCTCCTGAAGTTACCTGCAGAAGGAAAATCCAGCAAACAACTTCAGAAAGTTTCCCTCTTTGGTTTTTGGTCATCTAATAAACCCGACTTCTTGAGAGAATGATAAGGAGGAGAGAGCAAGAGGGAAAAAGGACAGTCTTTTCCTTTGAGATGAAGAAACCCTTCTCCAAGCTTTTCAAGTAAGTGTTAAGGAATAATCTTTCTTATTTTTTTATATAATCAAAGAGGGCCAACTTGGTGAAAACGGAGTAAACAAGTGAAGAAAACCCAGACGAAAAATTCTCGAGAAAATCCCTAAAAATTCCCCAGGAGAAAGCGTTTGCAGGTGGAAAAAAAACACATTCAAAGAAACCCACCAAGAATATTATAAGTATGAAACAGAGGAATTCATGGGACAGTGTTTGTCCTAAAGAACAAAACACCCAGCAAATTTTCAATCTTTTTTGAATGTTGAGAACAACCGAACAAAAACTTCTGCAAAACCAATGTAAGCTTTTACCATCCATAATCCATACGTTCAAATAAGCTTTCAGTGACTCAACAGAGAGAGAGAGAGAGAGAGAGAGAGAGAGAGAGAGAGAGAGAGATGGGTCCTCAAGCACACGCGAAGACAAGCGTCTGGAGACAAAAAAAAAAGTTTTCAAACAAAAAATTTTGAGGAAAAACCCAGAAATTGTTCACATGCAAATACAATATGGGGAATCCCACTGTCACTGGCCGACATTTTCTTCCTTTTCTCTCTCTCTCATTTCACTGTTCGGAAAAGAAAAAAAAAGGAATTGTAAATGGAAAGCAGAAATTTACCCTAACTCCATTGTTGATGTGATTAGTAGTAATTACATTGCCCTGCTTTCAAGAAGAAGGAACAAGAATTACTTGAAAAACGCGGAGGACATGTAGCTTATACAGACGCAAATAATCTTGACACGTGATTATTTTTTTAATTTCATAATCTCTAATAATTTTATCTTTTTTAAAAAAAAACTGGGGGACAGAAAGGGAATAATCCACTTGGCCAAAGCTGTGACGAAAGAAAGCATAAGTACCAAAAAAAAATAAATTAAAAGATAAAGTGAAGATTCTTTGGGCGAGATGGGAGAAATCCATGTTATATACCTTTTTTATTAGTTGGATCTTAATTCTTAAGTTTATTTTTATGGATTTCTTTTAAATTCACAATAGACCCTCTTACTACTTCTCTCTATATTTTTTTCATTTCTTGAAAATTGCATATTTATTTAAGTTTATTACAGTAACTTGAAAAATATTTTATTTTTTGTTTGTTAAATAGTTAACTTTAAATGCATAGAGTAATGTATATTAATTTTGGTCCGGTCTCAACATCAAATTGAACTTCAAATATTTTGAATGGGATTTGCTGGTACATCTTAAAATGGACTGACCAACCTTATATTATACAAAACAAAATGCCATGTGTACGAGAGGCATCATCATATTACGTTTTAGGACACCGAGGGACAGAAATTAAATGTTTTTTTTTCAAATGAATTCAAATAAATTATATTCACACTATATAAATGTTATATTATAATATTTAATTTTAGTTTTTAGATATTTATATTAGATGGTAGGGATTTAATCTGTTTATATGCATTTAATATAATATTTTTCAAGTCATGGTGTCGAATCAAGTGACCACAAACTTTTTATAAAAGGATTTGAAGTTTGGTTGAGGCGTATGTCTTTTTTCTTATTGTCGTGTAATTATATTAGGTCCAATGGTTGTGAAGTTGCGGTCCAAATTTAAATTATTTTTGTTAGGTGAGTCTAATTGAAATAATCATCACCCCTACAATTTTCTGTATCGGTGATTACAAAAATTGCACTCTAAATTACGCCAATTTGAGAAATATTAGCTTAATGAAAATATTATAACAAAAATAAATGGAACTTAAAATTTTGTGGATCGTTGTTTATTATATCGTTTGATTATTATGACAACAAGTTGGTCCTCACATATTTTGTCTTTAGTTGTATAATTGCAAAGGGCATGTGTCATTATTGGTTCATAATTAATAGAACACATTCACATTTGGTTGTATTTTTCTATTTTTACTGGACAGTCCACCTGTTTCACTGTTTTTGTTGCGTTATATGTATATTCTGCCCCTTTTGTCTTCATCAATTCACTGTATTTAAGACTGAAAATGGATTTCAGAAAGTTTGGGGTCATTCACAACTTGTAATGAAATATCAGGGCTATTATGAAATATTTCTAAATATTCGGGGTAAAAGTGAAGTTTTTAAAAAAAAATCCAGATCAGTGTAAGAATCTCGGGTCTTCTTTTGAAATCGCGTCACTTCCGCTCTCTTCGATTTCCGCCGACGGCAGGCCAAGAAGACAAGATGAGGTAATCTATTACGGGTTTCAAATCCGTCAGATGATCGATTTTTCAGCTTGTTGCATTTCTGTTATGACGAATTTAACACCCGCGAGCTAAACCCGATTAGATTGGAGTATGATTCGTGTAATCACCAGATGTTTCGGGTGGTGATGATTTAGTGCAATCTTACCCAAGATTAAAACATTCATGATCTTTTAGGGTTTTAGTTGGTATTTCGACATGGGTTTCTCGGTACGATTCATGAGAGTGCAAGACCTGTGCGTTTCAACATTGTCTTTAGGGTTTATGCTCGCGGAACCAGTCGTAGTTGTAGAAGTTTAGGCATTGGATTTATCACGAGGAATACGATTATTTAAAGACCGTGGTCGAGGATGTGAATGGGTTGAGACTGGCTTGAGTGAATTAGCTTTAGTTCTGGACACTAAAGTTTACTTCTTGTGGCCTTCGAGATTCAATAAATTGTGCGAGATGTTTGCCATGTACAGGAATCGGATTATCCCTCTTAGTCATGGCAATTTTCCGAGTTTTCGTGTCAATTTTTATTGAGGTTCATTGGCTTTGAATGCAGCAGAATTAAGTTAAACATTTGTCCTTGTTTGCAGTCATAATCCAGAAGTTCTTTGGGATAAGGTTCTGACAATGGCCTTGCCGGATGCAAAGGAGGTTTGGGAGATCCAGATCCTTGGAGTTGATGCTTGATTCTTGAGCGACTTGGTTTAAATGCAATGTACCAAAAAAATGCAATCTATGGTGTCCTTGGAAGCCCTTCTTCCTCACTTCACTTGCTTCGGTGTATAATCTTCTGATGTTCATAGTGAAGGGTTCAGGATTGTGAGACAAATAGAGGACTAAGGAACATCATATGTATGTTCAGTTCAGGAAGAAGAAAAGGGTAGGTGGAAAGGACTGCTGAGAATGGGAAGAGAAACCTACACCTTACATTAAAGTTGATCAGAACAAATGGTGGGATGACAAGGACGAGTCCATCTGTAAGTCTTGAAAATTACCGTTAAAGTGCCCTTGAATCTAATCTCTCTGGGTTTATCTGAAATCTTCATCTTCAACCAGCCAAACATATTTCTACTTTTTGTCTTGGAACAAGGCTCTGCCCCCATGTTCTGTTTCTTGTCCTCAACTCGGCTCTAGACCTTTATATGCCTCTGTTGCAGCTGATAGTGATGTTTCCTCCGATGACCAGTCCGAGGTAAATTCTTTGTCCACAGATAGCTTACGTTTAACGTTTGTTAGGCAACGTTGTCGTGTCGAAATCATTTTCGCCTTGTTCATCGTACTTTGTGGATCGGGATGGTGATGGCAGTGATGGCGATTGAATGCTCTGTAAGTTTCGACAATCTTGATCTCTACAGAGTCGTCTATGATTCGATATGCAATGAGCTTTGGTTTGCGAATTATGTAGCAGACCTGTGTCTAGAGGTTAAGGGGAAAAGAAAGAAACGACCCCATAGGCTCATACTCATCTGTCATTTGGCATAAAGAAACGGTGCAGCCTTTATCTTCCAATTGTAATCTGAGGATTGACAGACTCATCTTTTGAATGCATTTCTTAGATCTACCTGATCTGGAAAGGCTCAAACTTTTTCTGACCGCCTAAACCGGACACTCGATTTGACCGGTTTAGCTCCCCGGTTATCTTATGATTGGAGGAGCCGAGTTAGCTTAGGTTAATGTCTCAGAGGTGATTATGTTTCAGTGAGTCGATTTAATTGTTTTTCTTTAAAAAAAAAATTGGAGATGAACCGTTGATTGCATGATACGAAGATGAAAAATGTAACGATATTGGTTCCATGGATGAATTTTAGTTTATGAGAAAATGAAATAAATAATAATCGAGTTTTGGTGTTTGGTGGTCCATGATATTTAATTCATGCAACGACAAAAACATGTGGCACTTGTGTTCTCTCATTGTTGTCACATTTTATATACGAATGCTCGTTTTCAGATTTTTGTAGAGATTTGCTTAACTCTTGACTTAGGCCTCCACACATATATGTATATGTGTGTATATATATATATATATGTGTGTGTGTGTGATCTTCAAAATTCCTAAAACGAAAAAAAAAAGAGAAAAATTATATAGCAACGCTTTTGATTACCTGTAAATCCATGATGACTCACTTTGTTCTTTTATGTTTTTCCTTTTTTTTTTTTTATTGGTTGTCTATTGTATGAAAAAATATATTATATTGAAACGATTTTTTTATTGGATTCTTAATGGTGTTAGCAGTTCCTCGGATCTATTACGGTTTTAAAAAATATTACATTTCAATAATAATTAAATACCACAAAAATAAAGGACCATGGTGTTTCTTCGTCGGCACCGTCACCTATTTCTAATTCAAAAAATCAACGTGCGCATACATTCCCACTCGGGCAAATGAGAGCCCGATTATACGTACGAAAAATAATATGTAACATATACATTTTTAAAATTAACATCAAATCGCGGTTAAGTTTATGAGCCAACGACAGTAAAAAACTTTGACACGAATTTTCTGCGAAAACATTGTATAAATTTATAAAATGGTCTACCAATACCGGCCACAAGATGAAGGAAAATAATAAGAATAAAATAAAATGACAGTCGTATACTCCGATTTAGAAAATTGTCGGTCCAAATATTTTCCAGTATATGTATGGAGGAGGAGTCAATGTGAATATTTATGTTGGATCCACCGACAAAAAACAAGCAGATGCCACGGCCTTTGGAGTGTGGCCAGAATGCTTATTATTATTATTATTAGGATTAAATATTAATTCGAGAGAAATATCTCAGTTTGCAATTTGTTTCCTTAATAATATTCTAATTTAAAATTTAGCAAATTAATATTCAATTTGTAAAAGTTTTCTAAATTGATACACAAAGGTGACGGAGTTAATTTTTCCGTCTTGTGTGCCACCGGACACGTCAACGCCACATCATTGCCATGTCAGCTTTTGTTATTTCTAGAAAAATACTTAATTTACAATTTTTCTAAATATATACCCAAATTATAAATTTAACATAAATATACCAAAATTTGTAAAATATTTCAAAATTTATATTCAATTTTGTAAAAAAATTTCCAAATTGATACCCATATTTGTAAACGTTTCCCAAGTCTGATCTGATCCCGCACTCGTTCAAGCGTTTCGGGTTCGGGTTCGGGTTGACCCAATTTTTTCGGGCTCGGATCGAAACCCGACCCTATAAATATAATTTTTTCTTCTCTTTTTTGGCCCGAGACCCGAAACCAAAAAATTATGATTATCGATGTATGGACCGAGTCGGGCTGAACTTCGAGTCTCGGGCCAAAATTGGCACGTTAATTATGATTATTGTTGTATGGGTCGGACTTTCGGGTCAGGCTCGATTCGAACTTCGATTTGAGTTCGAGATCTATAGGGTTGGACTTTGATTTGAGCCCGAAAAAATTGGGCCAACCCGAATCCGAGCCCAAAACTAGGGGTGCCAATTTGAGTCCAAGGCTCGAAACCCGACTTAGTCTAGCCCAAAAAATATCGGGCTTCGGACCGAAGTTTTTTGGGAAAAAAAATTGGGCTTTTGGGTCGAGCTCAAATCGGGCGTCGGACTTGAGTCGGACCGGTCCGAAAGTCCGAAATTTTTTTAAAAATAAAAAATAACATTTACAAAGAGAGGCCCACAGGCCGACCCGACCTGACTCGACCCGACCCCAAAATGCATAGGGTTGGACTTTGGGCTTAATTATATAGACCCGAAAAAATTGGGTCGGCTCGAGCCCGAAACCTCTAGGCCGAGTGCGAGTTCGGGTCGGGCCAGCCCCATTGACACCTCGACCCGAAATCCTCGGCCGAGTGCGAGGTCAGATTAGATTTGGGAAACATTTATAAATGTGGGTATCAACTTAAACTTTTTTTATAAATTTTGGTATAAATTTGGAAATATTTTACAAATTATGGTATATTTTTGTTAAATTTATAATTTGAGTATATATTTGGATTTTTTTTGTTGTAAATTTAGGTATTTTCTGGAAATAACAAAATCTGAAGTGATAGTGATGTTGCGCTGACGTATACGATGATGTGGCACAAAAAATGAAAAAATTAACTCCGTCATCTTTGGTATCAATTTGGAAAATTTTTGCAAATTAGGATATTAATTTGCTAAATTTTAAATTGAGGTATTATTATAGAAAAAATTTGCAAATTGGTTATTTTTCTGGAATTAACCCTTATTATTATTATATTCTATGAATCGCATAAATTTTCCGTATAAAATTCAAAATTAAAAAAATGTAACAATATAGTATGTATTTTGTTTAGTAATACAAAATTACATAGATAAATATGACTTGAAACCCAACCTGAAAAATGATATGTTTTTAGTTATTACGTGGACAAGTTGAAGTAGTTTAAATTCGAAGAAACAAAACATTTATATTAAAACGACTTACCAAAAGAGTAATTTATCCGACAACAATTGTCCAACACTATACTGTTAATTTCAATTGCAAATAATTATATATATACATTTGTTTTGTAGCTTTTTATTATAAGTTGAGATTAAAAAAAAATAACTGCACAAATTCCCAACAAAAAGGCGTCGTAAAATAATTCGTTCTTAAAATGGAATATTCTCATACAATATTCGTATTGCCACATTTCAATTTTTTATACTTTATCTTATATATAATATAGAGGCGAAAAGGTTGTACAGTCAAAATTCAATTTAATTGATGGCTTTCATTGGCGGATATTCCGATGTTTTTTATAAATTCCACTAAAGTTTTCAAAATTAACTAAATCCATTCTTTTTGTTTTACAAAATCGAAAATCTAACAAATTTAACGATCTCAATTCTACAATCTTGAATTATTTAATCTAAATAAATTAATCCTATTTTCTCTTCACCTACTCTATGTTCTCTCACCAATTTCAGGATATGACACACACTATTTAGTGACACCACACGACGTCGTCTTGAGAGCATTGTATAATCCGGCCACCTAACCTTGTGGGCCCCGGACCACCCACCAACTCCCCCCTTCCACGTTTTAATTACGCAATTACCCTTCATTTTTAAAATCATTATTATAATCACCTGTTTTTTTTTTTCTTTTTCAAAATGATAAAGAGATTATAATAAAAACATGATTCATTTCTCGCGCTTCTTAACCATTTCCAAATGGACACTTAATTATATAACCCTTTAGCTAAATTTTTCATTGGAAGATCAATTTGTTCATTAATATTAGTTTTATTAAAAATATTTTAAAATTTGTTATTTTATTTACATATATTCATTTCCATATATAAATACTAGCAAACATACGGTGTATTGTTATAGATACAACAATAATATATAATAATATATACAATTTTTTATTAAATAAAATTCCGAAAATATCCATCACACATCTACAGAATCTCACACCCACGAAGGGACGTCTTGTGTATTTTTTTCTATAAATAAGCAAACACAGCCACTCTTCTTCTTCGTCTCTCCTTCGTGACCTCCTCCTCTCAACCAATCCTTTCTCCTCCCGATTCTCACTCCGCAAGGTACGCCTTCGGGTTTCCATGGCTTCCCCACGTCCTCGCTCTCTCTCCCTCTTATATAGATAGCTTCCTTGCTTCCATTTCGTTTTACTATATTCGTTAATGCTTTGTTCGTCCCTGTTTCTGACCTCGCAAGTGAATTTTTTGGGAATCGCTTGACTGTTCATCCATCCGTTTGTTGTGATTTGTGTTTTTGGCCGAGATCTATCGGTGAGTGAGTTGGTGAAGTGTATAGATCTGGGTGTTTGTGTTGTTGGATCTGTAGATCTGGCGTCGGATCTCTGTTTTGGTTACTTAAGATCTGATCCCGCCTTTTTTGTCATCATCGCAATGATTAATTTTCTTGGGTTTCTGCCCTCCAGATCCGCTTTACGTTATCTTTCAAACAGATACACGTGCATACAACTGCTCGATCTTGATTTGATTATTATATTTATTCGATCTGAACTTGAAGCTTTAAGATTCTCTCTGAAATGGGTTCCTCTTGTTTATATCGTAAGGCTGTGTTTTTTTTAAACGAACATGTTAGTAGTGAAGAAAGCTGCGAATGTGTGGCGGCTTTACAGCTTTTCTGATTGCTTTGCCACTTTCTTATATTGTTAATTAAATTAACGAGTTAAAGAAACGTCTAATCACGTGCTGAGATTGAATTGAATTCAAAGCTGATTTTGGTGTGTTTTCACTGTTTGATCTGAGAAGACAAAATGGCCTCCCACATTGTTGGATACCCTCGTATGGGTCCCAAGAGAGAGCTCAAATTCGCATTGGAATCGTTTTGGGATGGAAAGAGCAGTGCCGAGGATCTGAAGAAGGTGGCGGCTGATCTCAGGTCATCCATCTGGAAACAGATGTCTGATGCTGGGATCAAGTACATCCCAAGCAACACCTTTGCTTACTATGATCAGGTGCTCGACACCACCGCCATGCTCGGCGCCGTCCCACCGAGATACGGATGGAACGGAGGCGAGATTGGATTCGATGTTTACTTCTCCATGGCCAGAGGAAATGCCTCTGTGCCCGCCATGGAAATGACCAAGTGGTTTGACACCAACTAGTAAGTGACAGCCACTCTTGTCTTGTTTTTCAGTGACATTGTTATCGAGTTTGTGAGTCGGGGGGTTAACGTGTTTAATATTTTACGGATGCAGCCACTACATCGTGCCAGAGTTGGGTCCTGAGGTCAAATTCTCTTATGCATCCCACAAGGCTGTGGATGAATACAAGGAGGCCAAGGCTGTAAGTATCATTATTCACTCATATTGATTCTGTAGCTTTAGTGTCTAGTATATCTGATATTGTTATAAGAGGGAAGTGACTCTACTCTTGGAGTAGTTTACTGCAAAATGTGGGCTTTGGTAGAGGAAGTTGTGCATGATCAGTTTTCAAGGAGGATTCTTAAATGGCATTAGGATATTTATTTCTTGTAATCTTACGAAATTTGGCAATGGCATAATGATTCTAGTCTAGTAAAAGCAGGTGAAACAAGAGCAGATTGATCTTTTTTGTACGTGGTATCCGTACAGTTTGTTCTGCTATACCAAGTGTTTGCTTATACTGATGTGTTGTTATTTATGCAGCTTGGTGTTGAGACCGTCCCTGTTCTCATTGGCCCTGTCTCTTACTTGCTGCTTTCCAAGCGTGCTAAGGGTGTTGAGAAGACATTCAACCTTCTCTCTCTTATCGACAAGATTCTTCCAATCTACAAGTGAGTTAATAGTTTACGTTTTTATTTTCTCCCATAATATCATTTTTCTTTGATGTTATCAATAATATGCCTGAGTCTGACATACTTCTGGTACGATGAAATGTGTATGCAGGGAAGTCATCAGCGAGCTTAAGGGAGCTGGTGCCACCTGGATTCAGTTTGATGAGCCTCTTCTTGTCATGGATCTTGAGAGTGACAAACTCCAGGCTTTCACTGATGCCTATGCTGAACTCGAGTCAACCCTTTCTGGTCTGAATGTTCTCGTGGAGACTTACTTTGCCGATATCCCTGCTGAAGCGTACAAAACCCTTACCTCCTTGAAGGGAGTGACGGCCTTTGGATTTGATTTGGTCCGTGGAACCAAGACCCTTGACTTGATCAAGGCTGGTTTCCCCAAGGGCAAGTATTTGTTTGCTGGTGTTGTTGATGGTAGAAACATCTGGGCCAATGACCTCGCTGCCTCACTCAGCACCCTTTCGGAGCTCGAGGGCATTGCTGGCAAAGGTATATTACATTGTTATATGCCATTATGTGACTCTCTGGCCTGCCGTTGTGGATTACAGAACTTTTATCTTGTTTTCCTTGTTAATTTTAAATTGTGGGCATTGGTGTAGACAAACTTGTGGTCTCAACTTCCTGCTCTCTCCTCCACACTGCTGTTGACCTTGTTAATGAGCCTAAGCTTGATGCTGAAATCAAGTCATGGTTGGCCTTTGCTGCCCAGAAGGTTGTTGAAGTTAACGCCTTGGCCAAGTCTTTGGCTGGACAGAAGGATGAGGTATGTTTCTTTTGCAAATTTGTGCATGCACTGTTCCATCTTATGTCCTGCAGTTTTCTGTGGCTTAAATGGTCAGGGAGATGTTAACGTTCAAACTCTGCTTCCTTCTGTCAGGCCTTTTTCTCTGCTAATGCTGCTGCTTTGGCTTCGAGGAGGTCTTCCCCAAGGGTGACCAATGAGGCTGTTCAGAAGGCTGTAAGTTTTGTTTTTTTTGTTTTTTTTTTCAATCTTCATTCCCATTCAATCTCTGGAAAGTCTTTTACTGATTATTATGGGCTGTGATTCTTGTCTTCTCAGGCTGCTGCTTTGAAGGGCTCTGACCATCGCCGTGCAACTAACGTCAGTGCTAGGCTAGATGCTCAGCAGAAGAAGCTCAACCTCCCGATCCTCCCTACGACTACCATTGGATCCTTCCCCCAGACCCTGGAGCTCAGGAGAGTTCGCCGTGAATACAAGGCGAAGAAGTTAGTATTATCTTAAATTTCAGTATTCCAGTGTTCTGTTCGACCCCAATAAATGATACTTTTCTGTGCTCACGATGTTAACAAATGCTTTTTGGTAGGATCTCTGAGGAGGACTACGTTAAGGCCATCAAGGAAGAAATCAAGAAGGTTGTTGATCTCCAAGAGGAGCTTGACATTGATGTCCTGGTTCACGGGGAGCCTGAGGTCAGAGCCTTTTACCCGTTAGACTTTTCAGTGACTAAAACCAATTTTAGTTGGGAATGTTTCTGATTGTTATCATTAACTAAATTGTAGAGAAATGACATGGTTGAGTACTTTGGAGAGCAATTGTCTGGTTTTGCCTTCACGGCCAATGGATGGGTCCAATCTTACGGATCTCGCTGTGTGAAGCCACCAATCATCTACGGTGATGTGAGCCGCCCCAAGCCAATGACTGTTTTCTGGTCTTCGACGGCTCAGAGCATGACCTCTCGCCCCATGAAGGGAATGCTTACAGGCCCTGTCACCATTCTCAACTGGTCATTTGTCAGAAACGACCAGCCCAGGTGCGTATATATAAATGACTTATCAAATGGTTTGAAGAAGAAATGTCCCAGATGTTTGACTATTAACATCCTTTGTACATCTGGGGGAATTGTTTAGACACGAGACCTGCTACCAGATTGCGTTGGCCATCAAAGACGAAGTCGAGGATCTTGAGAAGGGCGGCATTGGTGTGATCCAGATCGACGAGGCTGCCTTGAGAGAGGGACTGCCCCTTAGGAAATCAGAGCACGCTTTCTACTTAGACTGGGCTGTCCACTCTTTCAGGATCACCAACGTTGGCGTCCAAGACAGCACCCAGGTAGGTTTCGCTTTTCTCGAGTTTTTTCGGGTCATTTCTTGAACTATGCATTAACGTTTTCTTGATGGTGTTTTCTTCCAGATCCACACCCACATGTGCTACTCGAACTTCAACGACATCATCCATTCCATCATTGACATGGATGCGGATGTCATCACGATCGAGAACTCTCGTTCAGACGAGAAGCTTCTGTCGGTGTTCCGTGAGGGAGTGAAGTACGGAGCTGGTATCGGCCCGGGTGTATACGACATCCACTCTCCGAGAATACCGTCGACAGAGGAGATAGCAGACAGGATCAACAAGATGCTTGCTGTTCTTGAGCAGAACATCTTGTGGGTGAACCCCGACTGCGGTCTCAAGACCCGCAAGTACGCAGAGGTGAAGCCAGCGCTCAAGAACATGGTTGATGCCGCCAAGCTTATCCGCTCTCAGCTCGCCAGCCCCAAGTGAAGATGACTCTCTCTCGCGGTTCGGATTCTTGTCCGTACGAGGAATCTGCACGAGGAATCTTTTCGTGTGTTTGTTTTTAAGATTTGAATAACTTTTTTCCCCCAAGAAATATTTAGACGTAGCAATCATTCCCGTTGAGGGGCATGCCTTTCTATTTTCATCTACACTTTTTTTTTTTGTGATGCTATATGTATCTTTCTCCATTTTTCTGCAATGGAATGGTGTCTTCTGTTTTTTTTTTTTTAAATGAAAGGCTTCGTACAAATCCAAGCCACTGGTAATATTATTATATTATATATTATATATATTATTTGTATTTACATTTCTAAATTGCCAAAATCTGATAATCGTGTAAATATATGGTTTTTGGATTAAACCCATTCAGAGATCGGTCCTAAAAAAATCGAATATTTTTTTTTTCTCTTAACGCTCATATCTCGTGAGTTTTCATCTGTACCCACAAAAGCTTGATCTTCATGGATACAAATTATAATTATAATTATTTAATTACAGTAACGAAGGAAAATTATCCAATGGAATGCAGCCATGTCATGATCTTCATGTCACATGAGCTGACGTGTCGTTTTGTTACCTTTTTACGATTATGCCCCCTTAGATATCCACCACAGTGAATCAGTGATTACAAGTCTTCTCAGACACGTGAGAATCTCGTCTCCCGAGGTGTTGCCACGTGGCACACGATGAGCTCTCTGATACGCAACCAGTTTACGTGGCCTTGGAGCCAGCTACTTCTCTACCACGAGTCTCACGCACGTCACATGCCGTGAAGGGCTTTCCCGTCATTTTCCATTTTTCCTTTAATTACTAAATTACCCTTCCGTCGGAGATCTTTCTCTGCCGTCCGCTCGGAAGTTTTATGCTTGTGTTTCTGTGAGTATATTCTCTCCTCGATTCGCTTCTTCTCAGAAATCTTCCTCATATAAGATTCCATTGTGCCCTATTTTATCTTCTCTTTCTCTGCCTTAATTAAATATCTGTTTCAGTTCGGCTTTCTGTTTCTCCTCTTAAATTATCGGTGTTCATCACTCGGATCTCAGGTAACTGAAAATTGGTTTGCCTTTTTGTTTTCCAGTAATTAAATCGAACTCGCGGGCGGTTTTCTTTTCTCTTTTTTTCTGATGGGTATATGGTAATGAGGTGAATTCTGAAGTTTTCGATTGAAGGCTTGCTCTTGAATCATGGGTGTTTCCGCAATTGTTAATTTTCGCGTGAACTTCTTCGGATTCTAATTTCTTAAGGTATTTTGTTCGTTTCAGACTGAAATTCCGTGTCTTTTTTTTTTTTTTAGTGGGAATTGATGTCTGTCTTGTTACTCGTTCGATTCCGCCAGTCATTGAGTCCTGGGGATCGAGATTCGCTGTTTGAGGAAAATGTCCTATGTAAGCGAAATCTCTGTCCGAAATGCTCAATGTCTTCGTTTGTGGTTGGGAAGTGTAATTTAATTTGATGTCTGGGATGATTTGTGCTAATCTGGGATCCTGTACATTTGGATTAGTTGTGAATTTCTCAGTTTCTCTTTAGTATGCCCTCCAAGTGCCCGAGTGTATGTCTGTTGCACTTTTTGTGTCTGTTGGCTGACACTGCAATAGAAATCTAGTTTAGATGTTTTGTTTCCTCGAGAGCCGGATTAGTCTTAGGATGCTGTATTGAATCTGATTCATGGGCATATTTAGCTGTCTGTACATCTCAAAATTCTCTGTCCGGATCTCTGTTTAAGTTCAAAGTTTATGCAGCAAATTGTCGTGAGATCGTTGCGTTTCGGGTCTTACTTCTTGAAAAGGAGTTTCGATGACGTGGTTTTGCTTTTCTAAAATTTGGATGATTCAGAGATCAGAAGAGGTGTGTAGTTGTTCTATGTTAAGTTCGTTTCTGGTTGAATTTTGTGCTATATATCACGATCAAGAACATTAAAAGATAATACTTTTCTTTATGGATGGTGGAAGTATAAATCACTTTAATGTTTTCTTAGATTCCTTCTTTCTCTCTCGTTCTTTGTTTTCTTTTGTCCAAAAGGTGTAAAGCTTTCTGTTTTAATTTTTGTTATATCCTGTCTATATTTCTTCCTAAAGATCCATGCCAGTGGCATACAAATTGTAAATCAAGTGTGATTTACAACTTCTGTTACTGTCTGATCAGGATTCTTTTGCATTCCTACGAAGTAATGGCTGCTCGTTAATGGCGAGAAGTTAGCGTAATAGCCAGTTTGCTTGGCAAAATTTGAGCAATTTGTTTGGATCATTTCAAGATACAAAACCAGTTCTAGCATGGAGTAGCCGGTATTAATCTCCTTCGAGAGCCAGACATCATTTTGATTGTCTTTTTGGTTGATTTATCGAAACTGAATCTGGCTCTTGAAAGTATTCGCCCAAGGCACACATTCGAGGATCCAGGCTACCAAGAAAATTTCAGCGAGAACTTCGAACTCCATTGATCATCAGTTGTTTAGAATCATGGAAGTGACGATCTCTCCTCAAACCCAAAAGATGAACTCCCAAACTCCGCGAAAAAGCTCGTTCATCGGCTCCCATAAAGATCTGTGGCTTGCTGTGCGGGTGGGGTCAGTTGCTGATGTGGAGTCGGCATTGACCATACTGAAGAAGAATGGGGGTAATATAAATTTAAGGAATGCTTGTGGTTTGACTCCTCTTCATATTGCTACCTGGAGAAACCACATTCCCATTATTAGGAGGCTCCTTGCAGCTGGTGCTGATCCTGAAGCCAGGGTTTGTGATCTAACCTTTGTTTGTCCTCATACAATTTTCTCTCGAAAGTTCTGGAAGATTGGTCTCGGTCCTCAATTTTTTTTAAACTGGCATCTGAAATGTGACTTGATTCAGTTCCTCATTTCCCATTGTCACCGTTTTTTTATGTTTCTCTGTTTTCACGTGAGATTTCTTGAGAAATGCAGACATCCTGTCTTGATTTTGTAGTCAAGATTGTACTCGGTGAAACTACATTGGCTTTTATTGGTTGGATGTATTTATCTTGTTAAATAGATGCTGATATCTAGTTATGGATAGTGATGTTCTTATAATGCTGGAATTGAGCTTGATATGTATAGGCCACGGTCCATTTCAGGATGGTGAATCCGGATGGAGTAGCCTTCACAGAGCTTTACATTTTGGCCATCTTGCAGTGGCCAGTGTCCTTATTGAATCAGGTGCTTCTATTGTCTTGGAAGATTCTAAATCCCGAACACCAGTTGATTTGGTCTCAGGACCTGTGGCTCAGGTCATTGGTGAGGAACGAACCTCAGGTAATTTCTCCTCAACAGTGATAGCGGAATTCTCACACTCTCTCGCTCTTCAGATTTGTGTGAAGTTGGAATATCAATTGTTTTCTTCTTTCCAGTGGCCACAGAGGTTTTCAGCTGGGGAAATGGTGCAAATTATCAACTTGGAACTGGCAATCAACATGTACAGAAACTACCTTGCAGAGTTGATTCATTGCATAGTTGCTACATTAAGTTGGTCTCTGCTGCCAAGTTCCACAGTGTTGCTGTTAGTTCTCATGGAGAGGTCTACACATGGGGTTTTGGAAGGGGTGGTCGCCTTGGACATCCCGAGTTTGACATCCACAGGTACTTATCCCTGTTTCCAACACTGTGCAGGATCTTTTACAAGGGATTTAGTTGATCCCGTCCCAACCAAAAGCTCGTGATCATGACCTATGGTCAAAGTAAAGTTCCCGTTTACCTTTTGTATAGTTTAAGATTCTAAATTTCGAGGTTTGGTTTGATAGAAGGTTACTTCTCTATAAGCGGCATGGTCACTTATGATGAATGTATTTGTACTATGGTCGCTTTCCTTATTTCTGCATAGGGCGATCGATATTCCAGTGTAGTCTTGTGAGTCTAGGACCATAGATGTTGCTACGACCATCTTCTTTAAGCTAGCCCCCATACTTTTGAAAGGTTATGTAAAAACCACAATCAGATTTATTTTTTTGTTCTACGTATCTCAGTGGCCAAGCTGCGGTTATCACTCCCCGCCAGGTGATATATGGTTTAGGATCCCGCCGAGTAAAGGCAGTTGCTGCTGCTAAGCATCATACTGTTATTGCTACAGAGGGCGGGGACGTATTCACTTGGGGTTCCAATAGAGGTACAACTTTACTAGGCTTCCTATTTTACGTGAACGGGATCTGAATCTCCATGAGTGTAGTTGAGTTATGTTCTAGTTCGACTGCTTAAGCCATGCTTTTATGTTGATGTGAATAAAGGGCACGTCAATATGAACGTGGTCAAGTAGAGCTGTGTCAAATCCATTTGGGGGTTGGCTCGTGAATCGCGATTTTTCTGCCTGTAGAGAGTTTGACGGTGTTTTTTTGATGCCCTGCAGAGGGTCAGCTTGGTTATACCTCTGTGGATACCCAGCCTACGCCACGAAGAGTGAGCACTCTTAAGGTGAAGATAGTGGCTGTTGCTGCGGCAAACAAGCATACGGCCGTAGTTTCTGAATCGGGTGAAGTTTTCACGTGGGGTTGCAACAGGGAAGGTCAGCTTGGTTATGGAACCTCAAACTCTGCATCAAATTATACTCCAAGATTGGTCGATTACTTGAAAGGAAAGGTTTTCGTAGCGGTTGCATGTGCAAAGTACCACACTCTTGTGCTGCGGGATGATGGAGAGGTGGATTTTTCTTGTTACGTAATCCTAATGTTGAAAATTTTGGTATTAACCATCATTGTCTTGCATTTTAAGCTGATTCCACCTGTCTCATTGCCAGGTGTTTACTTGGGGTCATCGGCTCGTGACACCGAGGCGTGTCGTTATTTGCCGAAATTTAAAGAAATCAGGGAATGCACTTCTGAATTTCCATCGGAGGAAGCCTCTTCGTTTGACTGCCATTGCTGCGGGAATGGTACACAGCGTGGCTCTCGCCGAAGACGGTGCTCTGTTCTATTGGGTTTCGTCCGACCCCAATCTAAGATGCCAACAGGTTAGATTTGCCTTCTCTGAAACTCCTTTAGCTAATAATATCGAACCCGAGTCCCTGAGCTAGAATGTAAAAAGCAGATGAATATGCCATTGAAGCTTTCTCTCTGTTAAAATTCTTTACAGTTGTATTCACTGGTTGGGAAAAGCCTTGTGAGCATCTCGGGCGGTAAATACTGGACAGCTGCAGTTACGAGTACCGGTGATGTTTACATGTGGGACGGGAAGAAGAATGGTAAGGATAATAAGCCGCCAACTCTTACTCGTCTCCACGGTGTGAAGAGGGCTACATCAGTTTGTGTCGGAGAAACACATCTCGTGGTTGTGGGTTCTCTGTACCACCCTGCCTATGCTCCTAACGCGGTGGATAAGTGTCAGGCCGTGCGAGCTGATAAATGCGGGGAAGAACTCGAAGAACTGGACGAGGGTTTTATGTTCAATGATGCCGAATCTGATAACATGATATCGTCTGTCCAACATGACGATTCTAGGGAGAGGAAAGTGCCTAGCTTGAAAAGTTTATGTGAGAAAGTGGCTGCTGAGTTCCTAGTAGAGCCCCGAAATGCAATTCAGCTGCTCGAGATTGCGGATTCTCTTGAAGCAGATGAGCTGAAAAAGTACTGTGAGGTAAATTTTTTGACCTTCCCTTGCATCGACCCACTCTGAGATTAGTTTTAATTGCCACTGGAACAAGGTTCAGAACCAGTCTTCTTTTCTTAATCCTTTTTTTTTAATCCTTCTTCAGGAAATTGTTATCCGAAACCTTGATTTTATCTTGACGGTTTCACCGCAAGTTTTCGCAAGTACATCACCCGATGTACTTGCTTATCTCGAGAAGTTACTCGATGACAAATCAACCCAAGCATGGAGTTTCCGTCGCCTCCCAACACCAACGGCAACATTCCCAGTTGTTATAGACAGCGAAGAGGAGGAAACTGAAGGCGATATCCTGAAAACTCGGGACAACCATATGAAACACTTGTCCTCTATTGTTGAGGAAGGCCCTCGATCGGATTCCTTTTTACAGCCACAGGACGAGCTGAGTCAATGTATCTCAAGACAAGTCCGAGCTTTGCGGAAAAAGTTGCAGCAAATCGAGATCCTCGAAGCAAAGCACTCGAGAGGGCATTCTCTTGATGGTCAGCAAATGGCTAAACTTCAGAAGAAACTGGATCTCGAATGTTCCCTGGCCGAGCTTGGTATTCCCATTGAGATGGCCCCCGAGGCAAAGTCCACATCTCCTATGCAGCTCGATGGAAAGGCCAATCGAAAGGCCGAGGGTTCGAAGAAAAAGAAGAAGAAGAACAAACAGAGGTCGGCACAGGTGGAAGCGGTGGCTGATTTTGAAGGAATGAAAGTGGAAGCAGATAAATCGGGGAGTAAATTTACCGAAGAAATTCCTCAAGTTCTCAAGCCTAAGGTATGCCTTGTTCGTGAGATATGTTCCTTACTGTGACATTTGGTTGAATTGCTTCGCTTCTTACTCGAGCAGGATGGTGACGATACCCTGAACGTAACTATTTCCACTGAGTTCTCGCAAGAATCGGACTTTGTCTCACTGAAGAAAGATGCAACATCCGATTCACCGAAGAACAAGAGATCATCAACGATTCCCAGCAAGAAAAAGAACAGAAAGGGAGGCCTTTCCATGTTCCTGACCGGTGCACTTGATGAGACCCCGAAGCCTGTCACTCCTCCACCATTGCCCAAAAAAGAGGGTCCTGCTTGGGGCGGGGCCAAGATCTCAAAGGGGTTTGCTTCGCTTCGGGAAATCCAGACCGAGCAAAGCAAGATCCAGCCACAAGAATCTGTGAGGAGTATTAAAACCCATCAGGGAGATGATTCTTCTTCTAGTAGAACAACAGCTGAAGGGAAGATACCACTGAGTTCCTTCTTGACATCGAAGCCGATTCCTGTGGTTTCTTCATCTAAAACTACTCAGCAATCTGATTTGGAAAGAGGAACAGCTTCTTGGGCATCTTCAGGAACACCTCCTCACTTAGCTCGGCCTTCTCTCAGAGACATCCAGATGCAGCAGGTACTAAGAGAGAGTGTGTTCTTGTTCCATGGAACCGGACATGTGTCGGGAAACTAATATTAACTTGGTGGTGTTGTCTGCGTAGGTGAAGAAGCAACAGTCCCTTTCCCACAGTCCGAAGACAACGACGTCTGGGTTCTCTGTCGTGATGGGACAGGGCTCTCCATCGGATTCGCCTGGAACGAACCGATGGTTCAAACCCGAGATAGAGGCTCCGTCATCGATCCGTTCGATCCAGATTGAAGAGAAGGCCATGAAGGATTTGCGACGATTCTACAGCAGCGTCAAGGTAGTGAAGAACCAGATCTGATATGGCGATGGCGATGGCGATGGCGATGGTGATGGTGATGGTGATGGTGATGATGGCATCATCATCAGTGTTGTAAATCTGAGAGTGTACAGATAAATGGTTTTCATGTACATTTGGGATTCTTCTAACTTAGCAAAGTCTCGTTTCCTTTCTAGTTCCTATCAGTAGCAGCGCTTCACTGATGGATGATGATGCCTTTTTTTGAAGGTCTCTCGCATCTTTTAGCCAGATGTAACACTAAAGATTCTGGGTTAGAATTTCTTTCTTTATTTCAAGAAAGACCCTCACTTTAAGCATCATTTCAAATTTGATCCCCGGATTTTTCCGTCTCTGGCTTATTCAAGGACAAGAACAGCCTTCTCGTCCTGCAACTACACCCATATGTTGGATCCTTTGATCGAAAGTTTCGGATTGAAGTTCGTTCTTTGCACCAGCAATTCCTTTATCATTCTCCATAAAAAAAAAATGCAAACTTGAAAGTTGTTGGAGCGATGGGTGCAGAAAGTGATTCTCGAAAGAGGGTTTTCTAGATTCAATCCCGACACTTTTGAAACTATAGAATTTGAAGAACACGAATCACAAACTTTTTTTTTTTTTTGCGTACATATATATACACACACGGATTCATGTTCGTCTATGCCGTAAAGGCAGTGGTCAATAAAGTGCTCTAAGTAGATGCATGATTTCACGACCCTCTAAGCTTGACTCTAGAAAAAGGAACGAAAGGGGAGTGAGATAGACAGAATGTGAAACCAATAAGTAAAGGAAAACACGGCATCTTTGCCAATTACACCAAAGGGGAAGATTAATGGATCATCAGACTATGTAATATAAATAGAAAAAGAACCTTGTGTGTGTCATCATGTATGCACGTTCACTACTACCTAGCAAAAACGAATTTTGAAAATTAGTTTGATCAACGGACTTGAAAGATTATTTCATTTTTAAGATAGGTCTAAAAGACGAAGATGTTGAACCATCTACCTCAACCCTTGAGGTCGATGAAGAACAACTTTCGATCTGATGGTTAAGGTCGGTGAGAATCAAATGGTGATGTCGTTTTTCATGAAAGAACAAAAATGTAAAATAGATGCTTAAATCTGCATTGGCTGGACTCACCCCACCAATTTCCCTTTCAAAAAAGAGAATCTTCATTTGTCAAAAGCTGCTCTGAAAAAACACACACACTAAAGCCGAAAGTAAGGTGTTGTTATGTAATAATAATATATATATATATATGTGATAGATGCTTCTGGATCAAGTTAAAGACCTTGTACCTCTCTCTCTGTAACTCTATATCTAGGCTCCGACCACAATTTTTCAGACAAAATCTAAAATCTCTAGACTCCATCTCCATGCATGCATGCATGAAACAATCACCAAGCTAAGTAAGCAACACAGTGACATCAGAAATGGCGACCACTCGGAAACTGGTGGTAGAAGTAGTAGACGCTAAGGACCTCGCGCCCAGAGACGGCCAAGGGTCCTCCAGTCCCTACGTAGTCATCGACTACTATGGCCAACGCCGTCGCACCCGAACCATCGTCCGTGACTTGAACCCCGTCTGGAACGAGACCCTCGAGTTCAGTCTCGCCAAGCGACCCTCTCAGGTTGTCAGTGACGTTCTCGAGCTCGACATGTTCCACGACAAGAACTTCGGTCCGATCCGGAGGAACAGTTTCCTAGGTCGGATCCGACTCGGGTCTGGTCAGTTCGTCAGCAAGGGCGAGGAGGCTTTGATTTATTATCCCTTGGAGAAGAAGTACTTGTTTAGTCCTGTCCAAGGTGAGATCGGGCTCAGGATTTACTATTCCGACGAGCTTCCTCCGCCCCCGTCACCTTCTCCGGCGCTTGAACCCGTGCCGGAGGAGGCAAAGCCTGTGGAGGTGGAAACACCGAAAGAAACGGCCGACCCACCACCGCCATCACCGGCGCAGGATCCACCGGCCGAGGTTCCTGTTCCAAATGAAGAGCCACCGGTTGAAGCTACAGCATCAACGCCTCCGACAGAATCGCCGGAAAGTTCTGCGGCGGGATCAGAAAACCCACCGGCGGTTGATCCAGAAACTGCTGAGAAACAAGCGGATGCGGATCAGCCATCTCTAGCGGCTAATCAACCGGAAGGTGACGACATTGTGCGTGAGCCAAGAGACCCGGCCCCACCGCCGCCGTCGCCGATACCCGAAGTGACGATATCGAGATCCGTATCCGGATCCATACCCGAAACAAAAATCGGAGGAATCGGAGCTCCACAACCGATCCGGAGAACAATGTCGGAAACCGCAAGCTACACGTCGGAGATATCCGACGCCTCGACAATCGAACGGACCACGTTCGATCTCGTGGAGAAGATGCATTACGTGTTCGTCCGCGTCGTGAAAGCCCGATCTCTACCAATCTCCGGCAACCCAGTCACGAAGATCTCACTCTCCGGCACACAAATCCGATCAAAACCAGCCCGGAAAACCACCTGCTTCGAGTGGGATCAAACCTTCGCCTTCCTCCGCGACTCACCGGATTCTTCTTCCTCGATTTTGGAGATCTCTGTGTGGGACTCAGATTCTCCGGCGGGTTCCGACGCAGCGAGCTTCCTCGGCGGGATCTGCTTCGATGTGTCGGAGATCCCTCTCCGGGACCCACCGGACAGTCCCCTCGCGCCACAGTGGTACCGTCTCGAAGGAGGCGGGGCCCACCACGGTGACTTGATGCTCGCCACGTGGACGGGGACCCAAGCCGACGAATCATTCCCGGACGCGTGGAAAACCGACACCGTCGGAAACGTCAACGCGAGGGCCAAAGTCTACGTGTCGCCGAAGCTGTGGTATCTACGCGCCACCGTCATCGAAGCCCAGGATGTGTTGCCCCCGCAGTTAACGGCGTTAAAAGACGCTACGTTCCAAGTGAAAGCCCAGTTAGGTTTCCAAGTCCAGAAAACCAAACCCGCCGTCACTCGTAACGGCGTTCCGTCATGGAACGAGGACCTCCTCTTCGTCGCCGCCGAGCCATTCACCGACCAGTTAATCTTCACATTGGAGCACAGGACACCGAAAGGTCCGGTCACCGTCGGGAAGGTGCGCGTGCCCCTCACCGCCATCGAGCGGCGGGTGGACGAGCGCCACGTGGCGTCTCGGTGGTTCGGGTTCGAGGACACGAGCGATGAGAAGAGAGGGTTCAGATCTAGGGCACATCTCAGGCTCTGCTTCGACGGAGGGTATCACGTGATGGACGAAGCGGCGCACGTGTGCAGCGATTATCGGCCTACGGCGAGGCAGCTCTGGACACCACCGGTGGGAACGATGGAGCTCGGGATCATCGGATGCAAAAATCTGTTACCGATGAAGACGGTGGACGGTAAAGGATCTACGGATGCTTATACGGTGGCGAAATACGGTCCGAAATGGGTCCGTACACGGACCGTATCGGATTCTTTAGATCCGAAATGGAACGAGCAATACACGTTCAAGGTATACGATCCATGTACGGTCCTGACCATCGGGGTGTTCGATAGCTGGGGAGTGTACGAGAACGACGTCGGAAAAGAAGCCACGCGTCCAGATTTACGTATAGGAAAAGTACGAATACGTATATCCACGCTGGAGACGGGGAAACCGTATAGAAATACGTACCCACTGATGATGTTGGGTAACGGAGGCGTCAAGAGAATGGGGGAGATAGAATTGGCCGTTAGATTCGTCCGATCATCTCAACCGTTGGATCTCTTACACGTGTACACCCAACCGTTGTTACCGTTAATGCACCACATCAAACCGTTGGGCTTGCTACAGCAGGAGATGCTGAGGAACAATGCAGTGAAGATCATGTCCGTACACTTGTTGAGGTCCGAGCCACCGTTACGGCCCGAGGTGGTACGGTACATGCTCGACGCGGACTCGCACGCGTTCAGTATGCGTAAGATTCGAGCCAATTGGCTTAGGATCGTAAACGTGATCGGGGGAATGATCGAGCTAGTAAGGTGGGTGGACAACACGCGCCTCTGGAAGAATTCGACGGCCACGATCCTCGTCCACGCGCTGTTCGTCATGCTCGTCTGGTTCCCAGACCTCATCATCCCGACATTAGCGTTCTATGTCTTCGTGGTCGGCGCGTGGAACTACAGGTTCAGGTCACGCGCTCCAGTTCCGCATTTTGACCCCAAGTTATCATTAGCGGATACGGTGGACCACGACGAGCTCGACGAAGAGTTCGACGTGGTGCCGAGCAACCGACCGCCTGATGCGGTCCGGGCAAGGTACGACAAGCTACGGGCAGTTGGAGCGCGCGTTCAGACGGTGCTCGGTGACATGGCGGCACAGGGGGAGCGGGTCCAGGCCCTGCTGACTTGGCGTGACCCGAGAGCCACCGGAATATTCGTGGGGCTGTGTTTTGTGGTGGCGTTGATGTTGTACCTTGTGCCGACGAAGATGGTGGCAATGGCTTTGGGGTTCTACTACTTCCGCCATCCGATTTTCCGAGACCGGAAACCTTCGCCGGCGCTGAACTTTTTCCGGCGGCTTCCTTCGTTGTCCGACCGGATTATGTGATATGAAATTCCCTAATTAGTTGTCCGATGGTCCTTTTTGTGGAGTTGATAAAAGAAAGAAAAACGATTTACATGTCGAATATTTGTTCCGTAATTTACTCCTGGCAACGTTTGATTACCGCATGATAAATATGGGCTTAGTTTGGAGGCCCAATTCTAGTTTGGATTCTGAGCCTTAATGGGCCGTAATTGGGCCATGATGTTGGCTACGCTAAATAACGAGTTTATTACATAAATCTGCACGTGTGGAGTCACCCACTCAAGGGCTGTTCTGAAATAGATAAAATGCTATGGTAACTTCATTCAATTGCTAAATATACCCACAAAAAAAAAACTTCAATTGCTAAATTAGAGAGGCAAAAAAAAAAAGATTTGAAAAAAAAAAAAGCCAAGCCCAAACGGCCCAAACCTTAATCG